CAAATCAAATATGTTGTAATTATATAATAATTATCGTTCAGCCCCTTACATGGCTCTCTACTCTAGTCTCTATTGAAGCTTCTTTTAAAGGTTTCTTACAAGCATCTTAGCAAAGCAAGTCAACCAAAGCTTGAAACCTCTTAAATGGGATAAAGTTAGGTATGTCTAGATTAGGGGTGTCAATAGGACTGGATTTGGTTCAATCCAATGCAGTCCAGTGTGAGTCCACTATAAATAGATCAGGCCCAATCCGATCTAATGAATGTTTTGGACCAATTTGGACCGGTCCAATTCAATGTCTGGACCGTTCAATGTGTTCAAATTCATTTTGATTTAGATTGGTTTCAATCCAAACCTGGTCCATTGACAAATATATCTTATCTTATATCAATGGAGTAGATATTGACTTAATCCAACCTAATCCAATATAAATTTGTTATGGACGGACCAGGTCCAATCCAATCTAATAAATATTTTGGACCAGATTAGTCCAATCCAATATATCTTGTTGATCCATCTAGTCCTTCCAAATTGATTTTGGACTAGATGGGTCCAATCCAAAACTGGTGCATTGACACCATTAGTCTAGATAAATACAAATCATCAACCAGATCACAAGGTGGAAGTTGAAGTATGAAGAGAATAATACCAAAAAAAAAAGGTTATATACTGCCCCAACCTGTTAGAATTAGGAGGATGCTGTTTGAGAATTGAGATGGAACACTATTTTTATTAGCTGTGGCAATGGTTGCAATATATCCTTACTACCACCTGATGAAAATGGGGCAGTCTCGCTTGTTTTAAATAAAAATACTGGGTGGGTGATCTTTTTTTGTTGGGTTATTGGTGTGTCCCCACCTTTCATAGGGAGGTCATAGATATTTCCTATTACAGTAGTCACAGCTGATGCATATTGAAAACCCAACATCCCCTTAATTTTGTTTTCATGATGTTGTAGTTGTTTTTGGTTGTTTTAAAACAAAAATGTGCATATTGACCAAGACCCACTTAGATAGAAAGTTGAGGAAAAAGGTCTTAACAAATTGTGTTGAATTTCTTGGCTCAGTCTGTTTGTAGCGTAAATTTTATTTTGCATTGGTGTAAATGCATTGAAGTGCAAATGGGCTGAGTATAAATTTTATATTACTTTTGCTTCGAATTGGGATATGTTCCTCACAGCCACATCCCATCCTGTGTTGGAAATATCTTTTCATGAATAATAAATACAAGTATGGGAGACGTTTCTAATGTGTGGTCAGGATACACTGGGAGGCCGGTTTGAGGCGTATTGTGTGAGGAGCAGACCTGAACTCTTTTGCTTGAGATTTGATATCGTCTTGTTTGTTTGTGAGAATAAAATAGAAAGTAAAATGATGTGATTTCACTTTTAGGAGGACAGTTATAGGAAGCAAAATGATCTAGTCCCCACTTTATATGGGATAGAATTAAGGTTGTGTAAATTTTGCACTAATTTTTCAAATGTAAAATTTGCATTGCCAATAAATGCAAATGGGACAAAAAAGTGTAAATTTTGCACGTTGCAAATCATAGGGTGTAATGTTGAACTGAGTGCAAAATTTGTATCTAGTTCAAATTTGCATTTGGCCCAGCCCTGGTTTGTCCATTTAAAAAACAGAAAAACCTTGGCCCAGCCCAAGGGCCTAAAGTAGGTGTAAATGTAACAAATTCTTTTTGGTAGGTGCTTAATCTTATCGTTTTTTTTTTTTTTTGGTAGGTATTGATCTAATCTAACCACTACCACTTAAATTAGGTGAATTAGGTACAAATTTTGCACTCACTTTAATTTTGTATTTGTTTGTTTGTAAGGCTCAGTTAAATTTGTACATTTTGGACTCATCTCTCGTTTAAAGTGGGGATCATCTATGATCTACCCAATTGGCCAATTCAGAACAAATAACCCTCGTATAAGGTGAGGTGAGAACTGCGTTATTCTACTTCTCAATTCAGCACTCACAAACAAATAAAAGCAAGTTATATCTGATGCAAAGGTAATTCAGAATTTAAACTCATCCTATTTGCAATTTTTATACATTTAGACCGATGTAAATGAAACGGTGCTCATGATTCAGTTAATCAAACTATGCGCTATATTTTTTTTTGAAATCGAGCCGGTCTTACCGGTTTTTGCAATTCTCTGAACCGAAACCAAATCCACTAACTGGTTTCAATTTTTGACCTGTTTAGTTTTATGGTTTTTTATATTTATAACATGTATTATAAATACTAGAATTATATATTATATATTTATAAATAATATATGACATGTACTGAAAATATATACATATTACAGTTGATTGGTTTAACTGTCAATTTTTTATAAATTAACAGAAAACCGAACCAGTCTTTCGGTTTTTTAAAACCGAACTGATGAGCACTCCTATAAAAATTATTATAGGGATAAGTGGACTGCAGTCTACCTCAGAAATATGAAATTATTATAGGTTTTTTACCAGTTGATTGACTTAACTGTCAATTTTTTATAAGTTTACAGAAAATCGAACCAATCTTTTGGTTTTTTAAACCAAACTGATGAGCACTCCTTTAAAAATTATTATAGGGATAAGTGGACTGCAATCCACCTCAGAAATCTGAAATTGCAACCTTCTCTTAGTCTACTAATAGCCCCCCTATAAACTGCATCCTGTCCGTGAATTTGGCATCAATCCACAGGCAGGATTCAATCAACCCTTAGAAATCCTAATTCCACTCTAGGGATGGACTGAACTATAAAATCCCCATTATTATAATTCACACGTCACACCGCAATACAAACTTAACTGAGCCTAGCTCATATTTTGGCCCAGACCCGACTCTATTATCCACCGGTAGGGGTGCAAGTCAGGTGAGTTGGGCTGGGTTTATGGTCAACATAGGCCTGACCCTAAAATTTGGGCTTAAGGCCTGAGGTCAAGCCCGATTTTCCCAACCCGAGCCCAGCCCACACTATAATTTAATGAACTTGGGTTGGACTTGGGCTTGGGTTGGCCAATGGACTCACTCTAAAATTATACATACATACATATATATATATATATATATATATATATATATATATATATGCATGCGTAATTAGACCTATTCATGAGCGGGGTAGCCCGATGGCCCGGCCCGACCCGCACCCCGATCGGGCTTGGTCATGTAACTAACACAGTAAGCCTGACTGTGTTACGGGTCGGGCTCGGGATTTGTAGGGCTATTCATAAAAAGACCCAACCTGACCAACCCGAACCGAACCGACTTAGTAGTTAGTTCCTAATTAATAGTTACAACCTACTTAGTTCCTACTTAACTAAGTTGTCTCTATCCTAGTTACAACCTAACTTAATTTCTAGTCTTTTAGTTAGGAATGACATCAATGGCAAGTATTGTAAGACAACTAGACAAGGAATATTTTTTGAAAAAGTTTAAAGAAAAGAATCAAAGGATCATAGTTTCTATGGTCTTTTACACCAAATAGGCAACCAATTACAATTAGAATTAGGTGTCATTTTTTACTTAGATTAAAAGGTTTCTTGAAATATATAAATTTCAGTCTTCTTTCTCTAATACAGTTTGACTTTCTATTTTCTTGATACATAAACTCAAAATTTTATGTGCTTCACAAAGTTATTGGCCTATTTTCTCTTAATTTATGTGTTTTCCTTGCTGGATGATGTTGCTAGCTTCTCTGATGCCCAATCTACCAATTTATTATCATGGTTGAACTTAGAGCCGAAACCGACCCAAACCGAACCAACCCGACTCAAACCGATCAAGTTGGTTTTGCTTAACACAGGGTTGGTTTCGGTTTCAATTTCAGGTAATCCGACCAGGTCGGATCGGTTGGAAAAATCCCAGTAAACCGACCCAACCCGACCCGTGAACAGCCCTAGGGATGTCAAAAAATTCCGGCCTGACTCAGCATTATATATTTTATAAAATACATAATATGTATTTTATATATTATATAAAATATATATATTTATAATTTAATATATACATTTTTTTATTTTTTTCTTTATAATTTCTCCTTCTCACTCTCTCTCTCTCTATTCAGTCGCTTCAGTAGTAGTAACATGGGCTAAATTTCGGGCTTGGGCCTAGGCCCGGGCTTCAGGCTTTTTATGAGGGCCGGGCTGGGGCCCAAGTTGTAGGCCCGGTGGTCGGGCCGAGCTCGGGCTCAGGCCTTAGAAAAATCTGTTAGTACAGAGTGAAAGCCCGGCCCGAACCCGGCCCGGCCTGACCCATGAACAGGTCTATGCGTAATTAACATATATATACATATGTATAGAGCCCAACCCGTGTAAAATTTCGGGCTGGGCCTGTTCAGGCTCGGGTTGAGCCCGCCCAAGTTGAACCCCTATCCACGGGGCCGTCTTGGCCTTTGTTCCATTTGCCAACTTTGAACCACCGACCCAAGCACCAAATGTAGGGCCCACGTTTTCACCCTACGTGGTATAGCAGCAAAGCAACCTAGCAAAGCCCTGATCTGTCGCATTTGATCGAGGCGGCGTAGCGTGGACATAATTCCTTTAAATTATTTCTTTAAAATCACGAAATCCATCGTCAGGTGAGTGCGTGTCTCTTTCTCCTTCCGTACAAAGAGACATACGTTAGCAAGACCTGACAACTAACGAAAAACGAGTGATCTGATGGATCAAATCTACTTGAATTCATATGGTCTTATTCTAGAGTCCATTGGATTAGAATCTCATTTGATTGCTTAGAATCTGCGAAACCAATCGGCAATAGAAGATTCCAATCACAAGGTTTTCTCAACGATCTTCTCTCTGTTTATCAAGAAATCTTGTGGACCCTTCCGAAGAATTTCGATCTGAACAATAATAAAAACTATTGGCGGTCAAAATTTTTGTAAGCCTGCCTACTTGTTGTTAAAGATCCAGTTTCTTTGGGCGGCTAAGATTTTTCAGATCAAAACATGTGGGCCCAACATAAACTAATAACACTGGGTCTCGTTACATATTCTCTCTCTCTCTCTCTCTCTCTCTCTCTCTCTCTCCAAGCGAAGAAACGCTACGGCAGGAGGAGCGACAACCATCAACGGTTGGTTAACCCGCAGAGAGAGAGAGAGAGAGAGAGAGAGAGACGGCCTTCCAATGTTTTCTCTATATTTTCAAAGCAATGGTTGGTCGTTGCCTGGTTGGTTCAGAATTGTAGATCTCCTTCGCGTGGAATTAATCAGGATTTAATTTCGTATTTATGACGATCTCCACGAAACCACTGTGACCAGCAGAGACCCGGTCCTCTACTGGTACTTCTCTCTCTATATCTCTTTGTTTTCTTTTTGTGTTTTGTAATCAGTGATATTTCTCTGATTCGGTTCTTTCATGTTTTATTGGTTCTGTTATCGATCCATTTACAGAGAAAAAAAATGGTGGTTTCTGGGCCCGTGACGCCTGGTCAGGTGGGTTTCTTCGTACTTTCTTTTGTGGCGATTTTAAGTTGATTCTGGCCATGTTCAGATGCAAATATACTTCATTTCTGATTTCTGTAATTTTTATTGCTTGTTTAAATTGAGAATTTTTTCACGAACTTTTATTTGTTTCCATATGACAAATTAATGTTGTGTTGTATTTGACTTTCACTTGCAATGGATGTTTTCTTCTTTCATTATCGTAATTAGGATCTATCAGTGTCTGCATTGCTTATTCTTCAGAAACCTGTGGTTAGATTTCTTTTTCTCCTTTCTGTATTCTTGTTTCTCTTAAGAAGTTAACTGCCCTACAAGAAAACCTTATACAACTTATATAATCCAGTAAAATCTGTCTGAATAATTCAAATTTTCAGTAGGGTTGATTTGTAGAGTGTAGGAGTTGAAATGCATGTACACTAACTGCTATATGTGGCTGTGGATCCAATATCCACCCTCCCCGTTAAGTGAAGAAGATAGCAAGTCAAGCTGCAATTATTTTGTAATAGTTCCTTGGCTATTCCTGAAGGCCGGCAGACGAATATATCCACCAAAGGAAAATAAAAATATACAAGGAAAAAGAGTATTTACTGGTAGATTTCCTGCTTCTTCTTGTCCTTGACTTATATAAGTTCTAGGAGTAGAGGGGAAATTACGAATTGTGGTGGACACACTCGTATATTGTAGAAGTAAACAACAAAGCTGTGGTAAAGGGCAGCTAGGCGGCAGCTGAGGAGTGAAATGGATTTAATATTGTTATTGGAAAATTTTAGTGGATTTTTTTATGAATTTTGACATAATTAACCCTATTAGACTAGTAACTGGGTCTTTAAGTATTTGGTAAGTTCCATTTCCGAATATCATATAACTATTTCCTTAATTACATCCTTGCTAGGGATACAGAACTCACTTTTGGTTCTGATTTTGAAGTGTAAATAAAGAGAGCAAGATAAGTAGAAGTTTATTGCTTTGAAAATTCTAGTATATATTCCCTCCTTAGTTTGAAAGGAGCCATAGAGAACAAAAGATAACATTTTTATGTATAGCAATTATGTAAGAAAACATAGCCAACCAAGTCTCATCAACAAGGCTGTGGATGGTTTCCTCCCCACCCACATGGAATTAGGATTTCATTAAAATTTGAAGATTAATGTTGTGTAGGAACTATAATCATCCAAGTTTCATGAACAAGGCTTAGTTGGTTTTCTTTCCCACAAAGCTGATATCTTCTTAAGATTTATAAATCAATGTTGTATAGGGAACCATAATCAGCCAAGCTTCATAAATAAGGCTATATATGATTTTCTTCCCACAGAATTAGATTAATATTGTGTAGAAAGCCATAATTGTCAGGTTTCATGAACAAGGTTGTAGATGGTCATCTCCCCTAAAAGAATATTTGATAGTCTGATCTTGGCTGATTACTTCAAATGCAATCTCATATTGCTCAAATTGTGATGTTTCTGTCCTCTATTAAAAAACAATATGGGATAGGATGGCTGAGATATATTCGCAAACCCAGAACGCAGCATGTGCCTATCAATTAAAGCAAAAAAGCAGTGCTATGAAGCAAGGGGAGAAGGCCATGTCTATGTACTTCTCTTCATTACAACCATTATGGAAAGAATTATATCACTTGGAGGTGGTGAAATGACATTATTTTCAAGATTCTAAGCGGGCACAGGGTATTTGTTACGAAGAATAGGGTGTTTTGAGTTCTTTGTTCTCTCAGTAGAATCACTTGTTTTCATATATTTGTTTTTCTTATTTCTTCTTTGTATTTTTCATTTATTTTAGCTACTATATATATTCCACTTCATTGCTGGTTAAGATAGAGGATGTCCTGAAATTTAAGTTAAAATACTGAACTGATTAGAAGATACCAATATGAATCATGATTCTTAAAATTGTTCTGACATTTAACTTTTTTTTTAGAAAATTTGCAATCACCCCTCCATCCACCATATGGATGGAATTTATCTAACTGACTAGAACAAATATTTTTTGACAGTCAACTTCCACGTTTAACAGCTTTAACTCAAGTCAAGCTATAAATTCTTGATTTTGTAGTACAACTTGACTGAAAACGATCTGGCACTATTTTAGACTTAAAGTATAAATATTAACGCCTTAAAATTTGAAAAGAAGGCTGCTAGTAACTTTTTTTACTGGTAAGAATGGTTACAACTTCACTATTTTAACAGACCTGCAATTTAAGTGTAATGACATTTTCAATATTCTATGTTGCATCTTTTTTCTGTTTACTGCTTGTTTTGTTAGTTCATCACCATCTAAGCCTTGTTCAAACCATATGGGGTTGGTCACATGAATCTTGTTCTGTCAAACTGTCCTGTTGAGTGTCATATCTATTGTTGTTTTGTCAGCTCCAATTCTTATTTATATCTTCAGTCAAGCTTTACTTTGATTGTTTCAGGTTTCTTTTTTGATTGGACTGGCCCCAATTTTTATTGCCTGGATATATTCAGAGATATTGGAATATGGGAAGTCCTCATTTCCATCCAAAGTGTAAGTTGCTTCCTTACCACATGGGGAGTTACATTTTGATATGAAATGGTTGAATTGGCAACTGTTGTCCAATAAAAACTAGATCAAAATACTATTAAAGGTATTTTGGGGTGAGTATTGACTTTCCACTTAGAGTACAGTGGAAATATTAAGGCACTTTTTTCTGGACCAGTCGGTCAAGGGAATTCAATTAGAACAGAACTGCTAGCAGTTACAAGGAGTGAGGTTGGCAAAAGTGATGAACCATACAAACTTGTTGATTGAGAGAGACTTCAAAGTGGTGATGGAATGGGTTCAAAATGAAGACAAGGCCTCCTGGCAGTATAGGGAATTTTATCAAAGAGTTAAAGGAACTCAAAAAGAAATAGAAGGATCTCTTCAACATGGGTATGGTGGTATACAGATCTGCAGATGGCTAGGCAGACACTTTTGCAAGACAAGGGCTTGAGAGAGGAAATATGTTTCGGGAGTATGGGGATATCCCTTGATGTATATACAGATTTTTTTTTAAAGAAGGTAAAGTATGATGTATACACAGATGTCGAACTGGCCATCTCAATCTCATGCATGTTGCCTTATTGTACATAAGCATTTTCTTAGATCTTTTGATTGGTAAATATTTTCTTACATTAATAATAGCTGCTTAGTATCTCATGGCCAGATATTTAAAGAAAAAGATTTTAGATTCAATCTTTAAATCCATGATAAGAAAGGTAGAGTCCAGAAACAAGGATAACCATGGTAGAAAAAGAGAAAGGGAAAAGAGGAAAACAGACAGAACCATGAAAACAAACAATGAAGATTGAACAGGAGATAGAAGAAAAGGAAGAAACAGTTTGAGGAGAAGACAACTGACGAGTAGAAAGAAGGGTTCAGGACAGAGGCAATCAGCCCGAAGCCTTAGGGAAGGAAAGCAACAGCTGGCAAGAGTTCCTCAGAATCACGTTGCCAGAGCAGGGAGAAGTTCCTGCTTCAGAAACTGTAGAAGTCGGGACCAGTCTCCCAGTAGATGCAATATATCCATGGTCCCCCCCCCCCTCCTGAGGATAGGCCGTTTCTCTGTGGGGATTTCAGAGAAAGGTCCACCCTCTTATGGTAATGAATGCTAAAACATCTCTTAGGAAATAAGAGTATACATGAGTCATCCTTAGGTCCTATACCACAATAAATTAAATTTCCTGAGCTACTTTCCTGAACCATCTTTAAAATTTCATTATATTTGCCATTCCTAAGTGGATTTACTCTGTTAAAATCAGTTGTCCATTTATATGTTCTCTGGACCCTTTTGATTGCAGTCAATTAGATCCTAATCTGGTTAAACAAAGAGATGAGACAACTAAGGAAGATGATCGGGCTATTTTGTTGGAAGGTGGACTAACCAGATCAGCATCTGCCAGGCTTCACAATTCATCAATCAGAACAAATCTAATCAGGTAACAAATGTTTTGTAATGCATTATTTGGTAAAGTTTCATTACGAGTCCTTTCATGGAGATCTTGCTTAATTTCTTCCATGTTTTTATGGTTTTCTAGGTTTCTAACAATGAACGATTCATTCTTGCTTGAAAACCGAGCAACTTTGAGAGCCATGTAAGTCATTGTTCTTCCATATTTATTAACGTTATAAAATTAGAAGTTTATTCCTTCTCATATGAAATCCTGCAATATGATGTAGGTCAGAGTTCGGGGCAATTCTGGCTTATTTCTACATATGTGATCGCACAAATTTGTTTTCTGATTCTACTAAGGTCCCGGTTTCTTCTCCAACTAAATTCCCTTGTATTGATTCTTCATGACTATAATTTATGGCAGAGGTTTATTGAAGGAACTACTGTTAACTCTAGGGAACATGCTAATATTGCTTGCATGGTATGGTATGGAAGTCAACACTGCTATTGAAAGCTGCATTTATGGTGCTTTTATAAGGGCTAAATACAAAGATTTATCATTTTATCAAATGATTTAAAGGTACAAAACTGAGGAAGATATCATATGGAAAACAAAAGAAGAATTTGTTGTAGGTTCCAGTAGTAGTGGGACGAGTCTGTCTTGGTAGATCGATGCATTCAATTGAAGACAGTATGCATTATGCTAGTTCTTTTGCATTAACTCCCAGTTTATTTTTTTTCATTTTTTTAGGTTGTGAATAAGTTCAAGGTTATTGAATTAGGCACTTCTACAATGAACTGGGATCTGCTCCTCACACTGACCTGACAGCCACATCCCACCGTGTATTGGGAATATCTCCCATGAATAATAACAAACAAGAACGGGAGATGTTCCTAATGTACAGTTGGATTATGCTGTGAGGTGCAGATCCAGACTCGCTACAACACATTCGAATTTTTTTCACTGGTGTCTTGACTATTTGATTATGATAACTAGAAGGATGAATAATAGAAGAGGTAGGATAGTAGGAAGATTAGGGTTTTTTTTTAAAGAATGTAAAGTATTAAATTGAATTAGAAGTGATAATTAAATACATCAACCCATGTACAATGAGACCCTGTACATTGGGAATATACAAAAAGACCTGAGAAATCAGTGAAAAAAACTCATACTGATCAGTTCCCTAGGGGGCTTCTTTTTTGTATATATATTGGGAGTGGGAGTTTTCTCCCTTTTGTTCTTTGGAAGAAGATTTTCAAAATCTTTCAACAGTTTAAGTGAAATGTCACAAAGTTTCAATGATATTCTAAAATTTTAAATTATCAATATTTGAAATACACCCAATGTATAATCAATATGAGAGGAGAAAAGATTATTGGAATACCTCATGTTGCTCTCTGGCAGATGGAGAGATTTTACCAAATTTTGCCAATATTATGAACAATGTCTAGATGTACATCTTACTTTTTAAGGCAGTAATATGTTAATTTTTGTTTGTAAATTAACTATGATCTCACATTTTTCTATTACATTGTTATGATAGATTAAACATTGTTGGTGAAGGTTCCTGATTTAGATACATAGGCTAGAAAAAGGATGATGACAACTATTATATATTTTCTATCAATTTAGCATTGTACAAAACACAAGATTCCTCTAATACAATCTAACTTTTACAGAATTACAACCGTGACCTTTTCCTCTTTCTCTACATTCTTCTCATCATAGTTTCAGCCATGACTTCTCTCAAGAAGCACCATGATAAGTCAGCATTCTCTGGAAAATCCTTGCTTTACCTTAATCGGCATCAAACTGAGGAATGGAAAGGATGGATGCAGGTAGATATTCTTATTTCTTTCTGTTTCTATTTTTGCTGAATGGAAATATTTTTCCAAAATAAATGATAAAAGATAGAACTGGCATCCGCACATGCTTCACTGGCATCTGCACACCATAAACAAGCTCACCTGGCACCTCTATATTCTTATTTTTTGGATAATTTATATATAAACCGCCTCCTTATTCCAGCAAGTCCACCATGTCATTGACCAATCCCAATATGATATAAAATGAAACACAATACATAATGCATGATAAGATAAGCCTGTAACTACCCTTTTTTTGAAATGCTGAAGTTACTTGTAACTTCAACAACAATGTCTTCAAGATTAAAGTCTTCTGTAAGTTTCCACCCATGATGTTCCAATTTTTTGGAACTGTTGTAACTTACCCTCCCCTAAAGGGTCTGAATTCAATTTCAATCCCAGCTTCTGTGTCTTAATAATGGATCGAACCCTCAAGGGAATTTAGTTGTCTAATGATCAAGTCTCAAAACTAAGCTTGATAGCACTTCTCTGGAGTGAGTTCCAACAAATGTGTAGAGATATATGATACAAAGAATAGCAAGCTATGATCCCAAATCCCTTGTTCCCTTTGATAGAGTGGTGCAGAAGACATTTATATTGATTCTTTCAATAGGGCATGTGGTCTCTAGGGAACTTTCATAAAAAATGTCTGTCATTTTCCTTAAAAAATGAATAAAACCCTGCTTTTTTTGAAGGGGTCTTTAATTTTTCCCTATGTTTTAAGGATTCTGACAATGTGTGACATAGATATTAGCTCTTGCATAACTTCAGATAACCTGAAATAGATCTGAAACTAGGGTCAGAATGTTCCCTGAATGCAGAGACTGCATTATTGCAAACATGGCAGCTTTTTTACAAAATGGGCTAGTAGAGGCTTGCCAAATCAGTTTTCCAATATCAAACTGTGAAAACCAAAGATCCTGCCTAAATCAACAAATCTTTCTAAGAAATTTCAAATGATGATATACTTTGTTATTTTCGCTACACTGTTTTTGCTTTTACCTAGTATTCCTTCAGTTTCTCACTGTACACCATTATCTGTCTCCATTTGGCATCAATCTATTATGCTGCATTTGGTTTGAAAGAAAGGTAGGGAAAGGTAACCTTGTACAGGTTTCCTTACCTTTTCTTTCAAACAAAACACAGGCTCAGTGTCCTCTAGCATTCTCATTTATTTATGTTGTCAAATATTCATGAAATTTCTTTGGATTCATGTCTCTCTCCTGCTCTTTTATTTCTAACTTTTGATACATGCCTCACAGTTACTAAATAACCATAAAAGTCAATAGAAGGTGTTGTTTAATTAGTTTTACTTTCACTGGGTTCTTCTAAATGACTGTACATAGAGTGGAGCATATCAATTCTGCTACAAACAAGTATCTGTGGATGAGTTATTTACTTGGTTTATTTTCAATAGGTCCTCTTCTTGATGTACCACTATTTTGCTGCAATGGAGATATACAATGCAATACGTGTCTTCATTGCTGCATATGTCTGGATGACTGGATTTGGAAACTTCTCTTATTACTATATAAGGAAGGATTTTAGTGTTGCACGCTTTGCTCAGGTGATTTGTGATCATTCAACCATATTTGTTATTTCTGCCGTAAGATTTGTCTTCTACTTTTATCTTTGCTTCTTATGAATCCATAAGTTTCTTATAATGCAGATGATGTGGCGGCTAAACTTCTTTGTGGCATTTTGCTGCGTAGTTCTTAATAATGACTATATGTTGTACTACATCTGCCCCATGCATACACTTTTCACTCTCATGGTGTATGGAGCACTTGGTATTTTTAGCAAGTACAATGAAATAGGATCAGTAATGGCTGTGAAGATTATCACATGTTTTTTGGTGGTTATCTTGATATGGGAAGTTCCTGGAGTTTTTGATCTTTTGTGGAGTCCATTGACATTTCTTTTGGGTAAGTAACCTAGTTTGCTTTTTTTTTTTCACCATTTCTCCCATTTTACTGTCTTATCAGCAAGCATAATATTTTTCTTTGTTGTGGCAGGATATAGAGATCCAGATCCATCAAAATCAAAATTCCCTCTCTTACATGAATGGCAATTTAGATCAGGCCTTGACCGCTATATATGGATCATTGGAATGATATATGCATATTATCATCCCACAGTAATATTTTGAACGCTGGTTCATTTTGCAGAACATTCATTTTGGTTCCCAGATTAAGTCTTCCAGATATTCCTTATTTTTTTGCTTTTTTTAATTAATAAACCATAGGTTGAGAAGTGGATGGAGAAACTAGAGGAAACTGAAACCAGATGGAGACTCTCAATCAAAACAAGCATTGTTGCAATTGCTTTACTAGTAAGTTACATAATCATATCACTTATGAATGTTTTAAGGTAATCAGCATTTCTTTCTTCCTTCTGATAATTAAGGGTTTGTCTTTTGATTTTATCTTTTTTCAACAGTAAATTTTAAGAAATTGGCTGACCAGATTTTTCCATCATTTTAGGTTGGTTATTTGTGGTATGAATATATTTACAAGCTGGACAAGGTTACATACAACAAGTTTCATCCTTACACATCGTGGATCCCCATAACGTGCGTATTGGGAGTTTTGCAGTATGGATTGTAATTTTTGTTGTAAAAATTTAGGATTGACAGAATATCTCACTTTCTACCATTCTTGTTGTTCCAGTGTCTACATTTGCTTGCGGAATTTCACTCAGCAACTCCGAAGTTTCTCTTTAACTCTATTTGCGTAAGTTCTACATGTCATGGCTTGCTCATGTCTGAGATTTTTAATTTTCTGCATTTCAAAGTCTGAGCTTTCTACCTGTTCAAACTAGGTGGCTTGGCAAGATAACATTGGAAACCTATATTTCCCAGTTCCACATATGGCTGAGGTATGTAAACTTCATTTCTTTAAGTAGAATCTTTCATGATATGCATTGTTTGCATCTGTAGTCGAAAAAGACTGACAATGTATTTGCTTCCTATCCCCCCATTGATGTCATGTGTAAGAAACTTTTTTCCTCAATAATATATAAAGTGCCTCCTATCTTTTAAACATAAATATACAGATCAAATATGCCAAATGGACAGCCCAAGTGGCTCCTTGCTCTTATTCCAGATTATCCCTTGCTGAACTTCATGCTTACAAGTGCAATATATATTTTGGTAAGAAAATCTTGACCTGATCTTTATAAATTATGAGAAGAATAACTGAGAATTGAAGGGTGAACTAATCTCAAATTTTCACATTTGATTGGCTGCTGTCTGGACTTGCTTCTCAAGATATCATACCGGCTCTTTGAGCTAACCAATTCATTGAAGGCAACTTTCATACCAACAAAGGACAATCGCCGATTGCTGCATAATTTTGTTGCTGGAGCTGCTATTTCATTCTCTTTGTATTGCATCTCTTTCGTTCTTCTTCAAATTCCTCACACTGGTATGCCACATGATAATCTTTTATTATTATTTCCTAATAAAATGCAAGGATAATTTTTTTTTCTATCATTAGATTTTTAAGAATGTTGGCAACCTTGGATGTTGAATTCATCTGACATGAAAAGAATGTAGTTTCATGGTCAAAGGTGAATGAAATCACTGATGGCCAATGCAGTACTATGGTTTCCCATGTCACATTGCAAAATATTAATTGCCGAGGCCATGGCATCATTTTCCTTTTCAAGAGGGCACAATCTTATTCTTTATCCATCTGAACCTACATCTAATTATTTTTATTTACAGGCCTGAAGGATTGAAACTCATAAACAGCTGAGTAGATGCTTTGTTGAAGATGAAAATTTTGGATCCAGTAAAAGAAGTGGAACATATTGCTTGAGGATCTGGCATAATTACAGCAATTTTAAATGGTGGTGTCTCCTCGTCACCCATCAATTTTTTTTTTTTTTTTGAAAAGTCTCGTCACCTATCATTGAGTCACTTGTGTAAAATGAATATGGATTTTGTCAACCAAAAAGGGTAAAGTTTTTCTTTCTTTCTTTGTATTCTTGGCAGCAGTGCACATATACCATTTCTTTTTGTATTCCAACCTAAAAAAAAGCTCAGGCCAATATGGTCATGTGCTGTATAGATCTTCTGATGTATCAAACAATTTCAAGTTTCAATGTAATTGAATTTTCTTTTGGATTCTTTCTTCCCAACATCTAAATTTGTTAACAGTGTAGTTCAGACAACAAGGCTGTTATTAGTTGTTATGGTTGACTGCAAGAAATGTGCCAAATTTGAAGACAATGTACTAAAATGAAAGCATAGTTTAGTGTTCAAAAAACATCAGCAGTCCAGTGCACATGGCTCCCGTCAATGCGGGGTCTGGGGAGGGACAGATGTGCACAGCCTTTATCTTGAATGTGATGTTTATTATTAAACTGTAGCACATGCAATAAGCTAAGAGTTCAAAGAAATATTCCAAAATCCTCGTGACAATTGCAACATAAATTTTTTCAGTAGTTTTATCAGGTTACTTGAATCAAGAAAACAGGTTAAGGCACCAAGTGCTAAAAATTCCACCTTGATCAGTGCTAATTCGAGTTATCTCTCTCATTCAAAACCACAACTATTCTGCTCCTTTAGAAGGACCTAAGATCGGGAGCCAATCCATTAATGAATTGATTCCTCAACAAGGCTGTTGTTAAGAAGCAGCTTGTCCAAAATATAATTCATGTGTCTGCATGAAACTCCTTAAAAATTAATAGTAGATATTAGAAAGTATTAATTATAAACCATGAAAAGAGACTAGTTTCACTAATTTTGTTAGATTGTAAGAGTTGAGTTATTCTGTACTCTATTTTAACTAATCCTAGTAAGTAGCCGTACATATTTCTTATTTCCTACGTAGTGCATCCAAGAACTTGTTTAGGCTGGTTTTAATAACTATGGCCATGTTTAGTTCGCAGTCATGGGCTTCATTCTTTCTATTCTCATTCATTTCTGAAAAGAAATGGGTAAGAATAAATTACATGAGAGCATTTGATTACAAAATTCTTGTCATGGGCTCAATTCATTTTAGAATGAAAAATGAATTCATGGCACAAAAATTGTGGCAACTTGCAGCGCTAAAAATAATGGTGCTCCATATTGCTCATTTTCATTCTTCAAAAAAGCTTTAGTCATTGGTAGGTAGTTGATTGCGAATATATGCAGGCGGTTTTTGAGACTTAGGCCGGCGGTTTCTGACTATCAACACAGAGCTTCATTGAAAATTTAAAATAAAAAATACGATGCACGATTATATGATATGTTTTACTATATTTTATGACTTTCTTAATATATTATCTTTATTAAATATACTATTATCAATTTGATGAAATTGCTAGACATTTTGTACTTCATGTTATTAATTTTAACTTTAATGTTTACAATTTTTAAATTTTATTTCCATTTGGAAATTCCAAGATCTTTTCTTCATTTGCACAACTGCCTACCCAATTCAGCAAGCTAATTTCTTTTTAATTAGTTTTAAATAGGTGCTAATTGCTTCCTTTCTAAATTTTCTTTATTCTCTTTGTGCAATCAAATGTAAAAGTTTTTCTAGTTTCTTATCTTTTATTCTTTTATATTTTGTGCTATTGATGTGGAGCCCACATGGTTGGTTTGTGTGTTATTGGTGAAGATCTTGCATATTTCTACTATATATTTGTTTGTATGTATGCTTATATTATTATTTTGGTTGATGAAAAATGAATGAACATTAAATTTGTAAGCAAATACGTTCAAAATTTATTCTCATTCTTTCCACAAAAGGAATTCATTTTTTTGAAAAAAAAAAAAATCGTTTGGTCGTAGCAACATTTTCTCATTCTACCAATTTCTACCTATTTTTATCCATTCTAAAATTTTATTAATAGAAAGAATGATGAAGAATGAGAGTTGAATCGAAAAGAGGATTGTGTCAGACTGGCAGCAAGCGTAAAACTTTTGCCACACCCTTACCTCAGATTGTTTTTCTAAGCTAATGCTAGGGTGCTCCCTAGAAATTGGTCTTCTTTAACTTGAAGGGCTCAATTTAATAGAGCACAGGATGATGAAACAGGATTCATGCAGCGAACCCAGTTGTTATATTTTTCTAGACACCTGTTTTTGACACCTTAAAGTTCTTGGGCCTCTGGGATCCAAGCTGTCCTTCAAAAGGGGAATCAAGCTCCAGTCCCCTTTACACAAAATTACTATTTTGGCTAATAACTTTTGCCCTAGAGATTACCTTTCATGTCAAAGAAGCCAAGGATGACTTGGGGTGGGTGAAAAGAATTGTGAATCTTCAGCAGTTGAACTGACTTTGACATTAGTGAGCTAACTTCCATTCATATATTTTAGGAGCCCAATGAAATTGTGGATTAGAACTCTGTGAGCTCAATGAAAATTTTCTGGTTTAATCCGTAAGACGCATATTTACATAAAAGAGATGAAGATGACTATGGTTGCGAAAATGGAAACATTGAACCAGGCAATGGAAATGCACCTTGGACTGTGTAAACACTAAACACAGACCTATGTACTATATTCTTCTAATGAGACTCAATGTTTTGAAAACCGATTCGGCACTGGAACTGCTTTGGCCACCGGTTTTTTGTCAGTGGTTCGACCGTTCAATTTGAATGGATGGCCTGTTCCAATTTAAAAAAAAATAAAAAAATAATTAAAATAAAATAAAAAACAGTCAAATACTATTCTTCGGGACAAACGGGTCGACAGTTTGACTGCCCAAGTCAGTGGGTCATGTACCGTTTAAAGGGTGAAACAGAACCAGTTGTGACTAACATACCATTTGATAACAGTTGAACTAGCTAGTTGAATTTTTGTCTTGGTGAATATGCAATTAAGTAGGGGTACAAGCTCCCTAGTCACTGAATGTTTAGCGCGACCACTTAAATTTTAAATATGTCAATCAAGGATCAAAGTATTGATATTGGGTATTATATAGGACAATTGAGATACAAAAACAAATATGGATATGGATACATTTTAGAAACACATGGATATGAGTGAAAAATATAAAAATGCTTGGATATATTAGTGAAATGCATATAAATCATATAAGTACATCAATAACACTAAATCTAAAGTTGAATTATCTATGAATATAGTATGAACACATGAGAAATGAACACTTTAATAGGCTATATGAAGAGAAACATTACAATCAACAATATTGGAACTCTAGGACGTGTACACATCATACAATAATTATCACTCTATTTCAATTTTATAATTATAATTTTCAATTTTTTTTGGAGAAAATTTATTTATTTAGTATTTTTATATAAATAATAACTCTATTTTCAAATAATAAATATGTTTTCATTTTTAACATATAATTATAAAATAAAACATATTAATCATTTAAGGTAGATAAAATAAATTATTTTTATAATTTTCAATTTTTATTAAAATTTTGGGGGAAATTAAACTTAGATTATTTATTTCAGTTTTTTAATTGTCATTTCATTTTTTATTAATTTTGTTGGAAATTTTATTTATTTAGTATTTTCATATAAATAATAGCTCTATTTGGAAAAAAATATTTGTTCATTTTAACATAAAATAAATCATTTAAGCTAGATAAATAATTAATTTTATAATTTTCACTTTTTATTAAAATTTTGGGGAAGATTAATTTCAATTTCTTATTATTTTTGTTGGGGAATTTATTTATTTAGTGTTTTTACATAAATAATATCTCCATTTTTTCATAAATATATTTTCATTTTTGACATATAATTTATATGTACAATAAAATAATCCAAAAGTGGTCAATATACAGTTTTCTCAAACTAGGCATTGTTACATTTTTGTATCGGTGTGTATCCAATTGTATCCACAGATACATCACAATACAACTCAATATGAAGACATATCATGCTGATATAAACAAGTTGTGGGATACATGCCCAGTCCTGGCGTATCCCGTATCCCGTATCCATGGCCATGGATATGGATATGATACACCCCATATCAGGAGTATCATATTTATACATGTCAACATATAAGTTATTTAAATTGAAAAAAATATATGATTAAAATTCCCTGAATATTTAGTGTGATCATTTTGGAAATCCTAATTATTTGCATATTATACATTTTTCTGAATTATTTTCTTTCTATATTTTTCAAAGTATGCAATTCGAAAAGTTTCCTTAAAAAACACCCATATGCATATTATAATGCCTTTTATTCGCAAATGTGCTACCTATGGCCGAAGGTGCATTTGTTGTTGTCTTTCTTCAATAAAAGATAAAGGCTCTTGAAGGTGGGAGGTTAGTCCTCTATTTTTTTTTCTCTCTCTTCTTTTTTTCTTTTCTTTCATTTGCGATAGAGAGTTACCCTGTACTTTCAGATTCCAATACTCTACTTCTCCTACTAACATTTTGTCAGTTCTGAACTTTTATGAGACTGTTTTGCACTCTCTTTTATTGCATCTCCTAAAACCAGAGTTTGAACTTTTATTATTTTCTTTTGTTTTTTTACATCCACTATTGGTGGTTCTAACTAGCTCAAAAAACTCATAACACCACTCTACCTCTTTCAACTCTCCATCTCTCAACAGATTAAAAGAAAAGGAAATAAAAAAAATTAAAATTTTGGTTTTGGAGATACAATGAAGAAGATGACAAAATGGTCTCATAAAATTTCACAACTCCTTGAATGCGAATGGTAGGAGGAAAGTGTTGAAAACTTGGAATCTGAAAAGTACAAGGTAGTCCTCTCTCAAATGAAGGTTCTATGATTAATGTCACAACCTCCAAAGTACACAATAGCTCTCTGTATTTTACCCTTTTCTGTTGGCTTGCATTTATGGTCATTAAACCATACTTCCATCTCTCTCTCTCTTTCTCTCTCTCTCTCCTGCTATGCTTGGCTGGCCATTCATGCAAAAAGGTGCTGGTGCAGCCAACTAAGCCCTAAATAATGGTTAGCTGATCAGTTCCAATTTGCAACAATGTTTTCCTGGCTTGGCCCAAAATGTTTGCCTACATTTAAGGTGGAAAGAAGAGGGCTTTTCAAGAAAAAGGGTGGAACTCCCAATCAGTGGCATTCTTACGGCTACCAAAGTAGGGGCAAGGAAGCAAGACCTGACTCACATTAACTGTTGAACACAGGTTGAACCATCAACCATGTCTGTGGCTCTCTGCTTTTGGAGTCCCCAAACAGCCTTTGTTTTGGAAATCATCCATCATAAAATTAAATTCATGATGCTTCTTTTCCTCAACCCCAAATGGGCACCTTTGTATCTGTTGTTAGAGTAATGAAGGTTGCTTATTGCAGCAAAAGGTAGTATACTGATAATTAGCTTGGAATCCATCATCATCATCCAAGCTTATCTCAAATATATGGAGTCGGCTATCTGGTTAATGTCATTACATCTATTGTTAGCACTTGAATCATTTTTTCTAAAAAACATCATTTCTTACTACTTTGACCCCCAGTTATTTTTTTATTTTGATATCTTCTGAAGGGCTACACAACCAGGGGGGTAACTCATCCCCCAACGATCAACAGGAGACCTTACCAACCAACTGATAGGCACCTTGCTTTGACCCAAAGTTTAAAGTATCAATATGCATCACATCGTATCATATGTATCATATTGGTATTGAAGAAATAACAAATTGAAAAAAAAATAAAAAAAAAGTAAAAAAAGAATATGGACCAATCGATACACATGATACACAAATTTTTGGTGTCTTGTATATGGATGTTTTGTCAAAGGTCTTCTATGGATGACAAAACCATATTAATTTACTTTCTTTCATTTTACCACTTATTGGAGCTACTCCATGATTCCTTCAAATGATCTCACTCTATCCTTTGATCATTTTTAATTTTTCCACTCATCCATCATCTCAGTATATGCATTTCTACCACACTTTTTTTTTGACATGTTTGTTACTTGTTAGCTGCCTTAATTAGTCAATGTACTACCTTTTAGTTTGGAGTTTAGATGTTGATCTTAAAAAGCGTTGAAAGGAGATTTTTTTAGCAGACAAAGCTTGGGTCTTTAATTGGGGAAGCTCAAATCAAACTCAATGATGGCTAATAAAACCTGTTTGTCAAAATAGGAGGTGCCCAAATCACCACCCAAATTGTCTTAGAACATCAGCTTCAAGGTCATCATGAAGGGCAGTCTTGATCATCTCAAAGTCTAGAGGTTTCTTCTTAGTGGCTACTTCTAAGGGTGAGCGTTAAAGAGTCAAGTTGTCAACTCTTCCATTGGATTACCACACAGACACTCTTCAATTCAGAAAGTGGGGTGGGTCAAAGGGCACATGATTTTCCTCAGTCTCAAACTCAAACTCTTCTATTCAAAATTGCAGAAGAAATATGAAATGCAAATGCCCAGCAGGACTCACATGGGAGTTTACAAAGATATGGCCCAGTGAGATGGGATCCGTCGACTTGGAAGGATTCAACTTTCAACAACCTGGAACTGCACTTAACACATCTGATCAAGGACCTGTTCCAAGCAGATGTTAGTGCCATCACTATCCAGTAACCACAGATAGAGCAGCAGGTAGGATAATTAGGTCGGTCAAATGATGCAATGATGAACCCCCTTAGCCTTCACAGAAGGAGCCAAATTGAATGATGAAGGTCAATTTGACTGCACGGAGGTGTACTACAGACTTCATAGGATTATTCTCTCTTCATCACCCAAGATGAAGCAAAGGAAAACAGAAAGCAATCCATCTCCAAGCTTGATAGAAGAAAAAGGCAAGAAAAGATAAAGAGAAACAATGGGAGAAGCATCATTCAACTGCGAAAGAAAGCAACCCATTACTGCAAAAGAAAAAGAGAAAAGGGATGATTAATCATTAAATTATTTAATAAATAATACAGAAGCAGGTTAGGAAAAGGGATGCTAAATGAGTCTTTTTTTACCAGCCCAAGATGAAGGAAAGCATGTATAAAAGAAGGGAAGCCCAATGGAACCATGAATCATATCTGTACAAAAAGAAATTTTCTTCTTTTTCTTCTCCTTGTTTCTTTTCTTTTTTCTTTAGGTTACTGCAAGAAACCTCAAAGTTGAAGGCGCCTCTTTGCATCCTGTCATAATTATGGCATCTAGAAATTGGTAGTGACACAACAGCCGAGAGATAGCACTCCAATAACCCAGACGGGTACTCCTCAATCTGGTTGCTCTATTAACCCCATTAGCAATTCTTTTATGGACAACACTCTGCACTGTTATCTTTTGAGTTTACAAGAAAGACCTACAATTTGAATGGTCAAGAGGCTATTCAACTGGGTTATGTTGCAATCATCAATCCTAGCCATGAAATTTCTCAGATGTATTACTGTCTGATGTCTCAACATTATTTTCCATGTCAATGGAGCCAGAGTTCTCCTTCAAGGATTCAAGTTCCATGCTGGTTGTTTGACTCTTCCTGTTCCTACGGTCCTGCCAAGAGAACGAGTATAGATATCTATGAAATGAGTTTCTTAAATGAGCACACTATAAATTGATAAGAAGAATCAGACAAGTTGAGTCAGCAAAGAGTTTTCAGCACCTCACGGAATGGGTGTTCATCTGTTTCGAGCATTCGAACAACCTGACCCATTTTTGGTCTTTTCTCAGAGTCAGGATCAACACATCTCAGTGCAATCAGAAGGGCACGTTTAAGAGCCCGAGTAGTTGGTCTAACTTCAAGGTTTGGATCCACAACTTCCTCAACTCTCTTAGTACCTACCATCATCTTTAGCCACTCAACAAGATTAACCTACCATGAAGATGGGGTAATTTATCAAATTTTCCTGAACTAAGATACTTGTTTCTTATAATGAGACAAAAAGAAGAAAGATTTCCCACCAATACAACTAGGCTTATTAGCCAACTAGGAGATATTTTGTTTTACCTCATTTTCAGGCCGACCATGGTCCACAGGTTCCCTGCCTGTAACTGTTTCTAGCAGGAGGACACCAAAACTGTATACATCACTCTTCTCATTCAGAAAGCCAGTATTTGCATATTCAGGAGCTACATACCTGTTAATAAACCAGATTATTAAGTTTTGCACCCAAAAAAATTGCATTCATAATTAGAAAATAAGTAGAATGCAGAACAACAGAAGCATGATAAAAAAATATAGATGTCAAAAATGAAAATGTACCCAAATGTTCCCATTACTCTGGTGGTGATGTGACTTGTTCCTGATCCCAAGAGTTTGGCCAAACCAAAATCAGAAACCTTTGCATTAAATTCTTCATCAATCAAGATATTGCTTGACTTTATGTCACGATGAACAACTTTCGGTTCTATTGCCTCATGCAAATAGGAAAGACTGCAGAGCATTTGAAGAAGGAAAAGTCATTTCAGCAAATTGTTCAAAGGTTCAGGGCAAAAACCCAGAGACCCAAAAGCAGTTAGTTCCTCAAACAGTTTAAAGTTGGGAGATGAACTCACGCCTTGGCCGTTCCAAGGATGACTTTCATGCGGGCTTCCCAACTAAGGGAACCCTGTTGACACATAGCTCCATGAAGCCACTGCTCTAAGTTGCCATTGTTCACGTACTCATACACCAGCATCCTATATATTGAGAAACTATTAGTATCATGAGGCAGATAGATTCAAGACAAAGAGAGAGTAATGGCATTGCATAAATCATAACGATAGCAAATGGAAAATCAAGCAGTGGCGTATCCTAGTATATGTAGTTAATCTACCACAAATGCAACTGTGCAAATATTGTCAAAGCAAAGGAAGAACAAAAATAGATTACCAAAAAAAATCCATAAAATGAATTTTACCTGTGAACTCCCTCTACACAATAGCCCAAAAGCCGTACAAGGTTCTTATGTCGAACATGACCTATAGCTTCCACTTCAACTCTAAATTCCTTCTCTGCCTGCCCCCTACAAATCCAGTTCACAGAACAAGCACAAAAAATTGAAACTCAGAACCATTGAAGGGTAAGAAAGCATTACCCAAATAATTTTTTTCTTAAATGGTTGAGAGAATTCAAGTATACTCACAGATTATTGAGAATTCTCTTTACTGCTACCTCAGTTCCATTGATCAGCCGACCCCTATAAACAACACCATACCCACCTTCTCCAAGCACATTCTCTGCCGAGAAACGATTTGTTGCATACTCAAGATCCCTGAGTGTAAACCAGTGACCCCACCCAAGATGTGAAACTTCAGGTAGACCAATTAAAGGAGATGCTGATGTGAGTCCATACAATGAGGACTGCCTGCGAAAATTTCCAGAGCTTCCTTCTTCTCCTGACTGAGAGCTACAGCCTCGCTCCAGCTGATAAATTGAACTGCACTGGCTGAGGTTATCTGCCTCACTTGATTTGCTCCTTCCCAAATGAACAAACATCTTCTCTGAATCCTTGTCACTAGATTTGTCATGCACCGTCAGGTAAACACCTTCACAATGATCATTAAAATTGTTGAGTCCAACTCTATCCACTTTGATTTCCTTTGAGACGGTGGGTATTTGGAAAAGGGAATACTTGTCCAAGGTCCTCCTTGTTTTCCTTCGAGATGTGACCCATAAAGACAAAATAGAAAGGATCAAAACAATGAAAACACCAACACAAATACCAATCAAAACCCATAGCTTCAGACCCAGAAATGATGTCTTTTTAGACAACTCAGCATTTAGAGACTCATTGGATGACATTTCTGGTTCTTGGTAAATACAAGGAGCAATCCTTCCTATTAGCAGCACTTGCAATCTGCCGACTTAATCTCGTGGACTGCAAAATCAGTCCATCCCCACCTGTAAAAACAAAAAATGGCTATAAGAAAATACTCTCGATGTCAAAATGTTAAACATAGACCTAAGCCTCTTAATAAGTGTTCCACATTCAAGACCAAAACCAAGCACATTCATTTGCAATGTTGAAACTCCTTGAAAAGCAAGATAGATGTCGCTTATCCGCATTAAGTGTTGTACTGATGAATTCTTATCTTCCTAGAAACTCCTAAGTTTAAATTCATGAGAAAGCAAGTACAAAGTACCCATTGGGTAAAAAACATTCTGTCATTAACCACCTCAGAAAAGAAAACAAAGAAAGAAATAAAAGAGCATCTGATACGCCCCCCCNCCCTGTCCCCCCTTCAAGAAGTTCAAATGCATTTCTTGGCTGTTAAATTGGAAAATAAGGATCCAAAAACTAAATCCCAACTTGAGATTTCAGCTAGCTTTACCAAATCAAGAAAAGAAGTTCTAATCCATCTAGCCCACCCAAATAACATTCTCACCTAATGTCAATATTCTGTTCTACCCACCAGATGTCATCCCAAATGAAGCACAGAGAAATAGTAATCCACCACAAAACAATTCAAAGAAGAAAATATACCACTCCTGGTGATCCAACCCCCTCTTATCTTCTTCTCTGAAACACCTACAGAAGCAAGAAAATTGCCTTCTTTTCAAGTTTAGAAATAGAGTCTCAGAAGGCATAGATAGGCCAATGTCAACCAGAAATAACACAATCCACAGAAACCCAGAACCCCAGAAATAATATTTGTAGAAGAGTAGTTTAGAAGCTGGGGTTCTGTCCAAATTCCAGAAGTGGGCCAAAGAGAAATGAAAATTGAAAACGAATAAGCATACAACAAGCCCAGACAAAACGCAATATCTACACAATGGATGCCGCAAAGGAAAATTTCCGTTTCTTTCTAGAATTTTAGAGGGCCACAGGCAGCGTTGTTGAATTGGTTGGCGCCTTGGTGGGTTTTCGTCCTTGTGGACGAGAGAGTGACCTGTGATAGCCAGAAATAAAGCTTGGTTTGCAATGGAGGAAACCAAGAGAGAGAGAGAGAGAGAAAAGCAGTAAGAGGAAAGCAAATGAGGTGAACAGGACTGGCATTTATAACTCGGTAGAGAAAATGTCAAAATAGAAAATACAGAAAAACCAAAAAAAAGAAAACTCAGTAACATGAGAGAGAGAGAGAGAGAGAGAGAGAGAAACAACCTCAACCCATGCAGGAGGGAACTCCAAATTTTAGTATTCCAGCAATCCAGCTTGCATGCTGGTTAAGCTTATTGGCCAAACCAGCCTTTGAATCAATGGAAGGTAATGGCCTTCTGTGAAAATTTTTAATAGAAACTTTATGATAAAGCCAGGGTTGTCATAACATCAATGTAGACAAACCAATGGACGGCCCCAATTTACTGCAACAACATGGTAGCTTGCTGCTCGATCAATCAAGCTCACATTTAATATACTACAGGGCACTGTACATGCATCGTCATCACCCATGGATTTGGTATCAGAGAGAATCATGGTGATACATGGTGGATATATGGGTGTTAAATATGTGAATTTCAATCCAAATGTCTCCTCCCTGTGGGACCACTAGATGGTGGGGCCTGACCCTCCATGGCCATGGGTGGGATGTCTTCTTGAATTCTGTCTCAAGACTCAAGTTACGAGAATTGAGATAATGAGATTATTTTCTTACTTCATTTTCTTAGGCAAATTTATTTATTGGGTCTTAATTAGATTTTTTTTTTCTTTTTTCTGAAAAAATTAGAGCTTATCTAGATTTAATTAGCAGGGCAGACATTGACTGGCATACGAAAATTTAAAATTGTAGAGTTATAACGGCTCCAAAGGGCATCTTTGTCAAATTATAAAACTTTGACCAATACTCAGAGACAAACTTCAACTATTAAAGTTGGAGGGGCATTTAGGTTGTCAAATGACTCAAGATTGGAAGAACTTTCTGAAATATAAAGACCTGGGAGTCTTTTAATTATTTAAAAAGCAAGAAAGAATAAAAGGGCACAAGAGAGAGATCTTACTTTATAAACAAATGTACCTTTCTTGGGTGTCATTTTAACTTGAGGCTGGAGATAAAGCTTACAAAGACTGATTAGAAGCATAACTTTGGATTAAAGTATGTCTTAGAGAAACCATCTCTCTCTCTAGATCAAAACTGTCCATTTTATGAGTCCCCGCGTGAAAGAACTCTAATGCTAGAAATTGACTTGAAAGGTTGATCTAGACCATGGTTGCCAATTTGGTGGTGCTTGTCAAAAATCAGACATCCCACAGGAATTAGTTAGACTTTCACTTCAATTTCATTGGATAATTGGACAAAATTATATTTGATTCAGTTTGCATTAAAAGCCCTGGACCAACTCACTAATTTTGCATCAAATACATAGGAACAAGGATCCCAAGTTTCTTACCATGTCATTGACTTTTTCTTTTTCTTTTTCTTTAGTCAGAACAAAGAACCCTAGCTTCAATGGGATGTGTTGTTGATTCCTTCTTGAGGGTTTTGGTTCAATGGGGATACTCTTCACATGAGATGTTGATTTTCCATGTCCAGTTGGAATCCATTTAAAAACCCCACATGCCTATTGGTGTTGGATTGAATCCCTTTTGAGTTTTTGACACCAATCCAAGAGTTCAAAAGTGATAATCCGGAAATGACCCATGAAAGAATCAGGACCTTTGATTTATGCAAAGTTGGGGTTGTGATCCATTGAATGGGCAGGATCTCTCTTGGTTTCAATTTTTGGGACCCAATGGAATGGTGGGGTCTGTCGACCTTCCACAAACACAACATGGGTGGCACGAGGTGAGGACCACAGAGCCATTTCCCCATCTCTCACAGTGATCACATAACATAAATGGCATTTAATAAAAGATCGAAAGCAACTTTTTTTTTTCCAAGTCACGAATCTCTCACTCATCTTCCCTTCTTTTTTCTTTCTTTCTCTGGTGTATTATTAATTAGCCAACACAAGCTGATGGAGGGTATACAATTCTTTGGCCTATCTGAGATGCAATTTATTCTTTTTTAAAATCAAGTTCTTCTTTAATTTAAGCAGGCAATTCAGTCTCCCTATAATCTTCTGCCACGTGGCAAAAAAAATCATTTTTCCTTTATCTCTATTGAAAAATACGTACTCTAGATTTTCAAGGATTAGTGTGCTTTGAAAGCTTGTAAGGCTTTGTGGTTTTAATGGATTGGCATTGCTCTTGTTCTATCATCATCTATGTATGTATTAATTTTCAAAAAGTGTTTTGAGCATTGGGTAATAATTACTTTTAAAAACACTGTAATAGGCCAAAATACTTGTAAGCCCCAAAGTAAAAAGCCTAAGATTGGTGCTTTGAACCCTGAAGCTTATCCAAACACAACCTGAAACTCATGACCTGTAAAATATTGTCTTTTGCCACTATAATTCTCACCAAAATCTCTTCTATAAATCTTTCCCCTTTTACAGCTAAGAACTATCTATCCCCATATCAAATAGCTTGCATTGACATAGGATTCCATATTAATAAAATCACCACTTGAACTGTAATATCATCAGAATTTTCTGTTTTCCATTTATCACTATTTTTTTTAATTTATAAAATTCGAAAAACCTTGTCAGTGTGTGACGTCCACTTGGCACATGCAGGGGTGGGGACCCATCTAAAAGCTCCATGGTAGGCCAAAAACCAACAGCTGTTATAATGATCCTAACATTCTACTCATATACCTTTATATACCTGTCAACACAGAATAATAGAATAGGTCAAATTGTAAGCATCATCAGATGATTCAGATCCCTAAACCATATCCTGCCAAGCATTCATCAAATGGTTGAAATTTTTTTCCTATTATTTTTATGAAGATCTTCCAAATATTATATAATTTAGCTGCAGGGGTTGAGGGCTGAGGTTCTGTAGGTTTTTGAGAGATGTTTTAGTTGGTTTCTCAATGTGCCCTCAACACCCAAGTGAGATGCTCCTTTCCTAGATGCTTGCACGAGGAGAATTCTTCACTTTAGCACATAAAATTAGAATAATTTATATTTTTTTAATTGTCCTCCCACACTCAGCCCATTAGCTAACCCTCATGTTTCATTAATTAATTTAATAATAATAATGATCACCACTATTTAGAATCTCTTTATATTATATATATAAAACAATGCAAATTTCATGAATTCAACTAAGATTCCTGCACAGTTGCAGCCATTCTATAGCAGTTTTATGGAAAATATACAATACATAATGGTCCCAATATGTATACATTTTCCCAACTAAATATCTATTTTATTTTATAAAAAAAGCTAAGGACCCATTACATTTCTCTATATGGCCGTTGTCTTTAATCAAATCGACTACTGTTAGATTAGGGTTTTGAAATTGCCACATCCTCTCATGTGTTCAAGTCTTTATTAAATACTTGGAGTACTAGTCCTTCCCCAAATAGTGATGATTACTATCTGATATAATAAAATTTACAGAGAGGTACACTGCTACCCATTGCAGAATTTTGAAATTACAGCCCCCCATAGTTTATTAGTAGCCCCTCCCCTTATAAACCACATCCTGTCCATGAATTTGGCATCAATCCATGGTTAAGATTCATCCCACCTGTACAGTAGGACTAAGAATTCTAAGCTGAGCTTAACAGTCATTCTCCCTAAAATTTATCTCGGTAAGTAGAGAGCGATGATTAGACTTGTTGATGGGTTGGATCTATCCAATAGAACTGAACCACCGAACCAATCTGTTGGTTCGGGTTCTGTGGTTTGTGTTCCAATTAATACTTGGGGTGGGATCAGTTCTCGTTACTCTGAACCGATTGAATTGTTAATTAAATTTCAAAGACAAACAGTATATTAAAAATACTTGTTTTATCATTTATTGTCATTTTTGTTAAGTTTATTTCTTGAGAGATGAAGTTCCAAGTTGTTATTATCATGAGTAATTATAAATATCAAGTATAATAGAGACTAATCAGGTTTAGGGATGTCAACGGGTCAAGTTCGGCATGCATGGTTTGCCTCAACCTTAACCCAACCCTTCAGTGTCCCAACCCAATCTGACTTAAAAATTGCACAATTTCGGAACCTGACTCAACTCCATAGAGCCTAACCTGATTCAACCCATAGCATTTTAATTGTATTTTTTTTTTAACATGTTTTGAAAATCAAATGACTATTAACTTAAAGTTAGAAATTTGTTTTATAAATTCTAAGGTGTTATTTTTTTCATTTTAAAAAAGAAGAAAATCAAAATCATCATGTAAAGAAATCCTAAACTCTAAGACTACAGAATTAGAAGTCAAAAAGTTAAAAAAATACTTTGTATATATACACGGATATGTCTAGATAGGGTAGAATCAGACAAAACCCGAATCCAAAAGTTAACCCAACCCTATAAAGTCACGTTAAGCCAAATTTACCATTTAACCCAATCCATTGACATCCGTAATCCAGTCAAACTCGATTATCCTTCCGAATAATTGATTTAGTTCTGAATCTATTTTATAGAACTGATTAATAACTGGTTCGAGACATGTCCAAACCCCTAAAATCATACCCGATTCATTGACAATTGATGAACACATTTAGCCCTTATTGTCCATCAAATAGAAGATTCCTAGGCTGTCTAATTATGTTTTCTAAGACAATTAGTCCAACTGCCACACATCTCCATTACCTAAGCATCTCTGGTCGTCCTCAGAGTTATTAGAGGTTACAGATACATATTTTTTTTTAAAATATTTTGTTAAATTACATTTCTTCAATGGAACCTCCATTTGTTTAAAGGAAATGCAGAGTGTGGCCACCAAAAAAGGAGATTCAGTTATTGGTGTCAGTCTTCAAAGGAATGTTTTAAAATATTGTTTTGCAATCCGATGCTGGTGATAAAAATTATTACATTTTCTTGTGCCAATCCACCGTTTTGGTGTTAAATTATTCACAAAATGAGTTTTCTCTTGAAAACCGTGTTCTTTGACTGGGCTGGGCTCATTTAGTTTAACATAAACATAGACTTTGGAGCTTCTCCCTGTGCTATTTCCCTTCATATTAAAGTATTGGATTCTCCATGTAAATTAGCCATCTTTTTGTTTAATCGATTCCTTTATTTAGTGCTTCATTTAGTCCAAGTGGGTGTATTAATTAATGATTATTTACATTTTGATCAATACATAGATCGGTTCAGAGAAAAAAAAATAAAAAAGGAAAAGAGGACGATCATCTCTCTCTCAAACACCCCATCAGGTATTCATATTTGCATCCATCCTATTGCACCATTTTGGTTCGAATAGGTCCTTCATATTTAGGTATTTATTGGGAGGGATGGACTGGATATATAGTTATATATTTGGTGTCTTTTGATAACAGTTGAAGTTGTTGAACCGAATGGCTTATTACATTGTTTTTAGTAGATAAAATAGCTCAATAATAAAATATTCGAGGATATAGTGACCTATCCAAATTCAGCTTTCAGCCATTAAAGAGTTTTGATATTCTTAAAATCTTATTCACTAAAAGATAAAGCAATTAGCTTTTCAGTTCAGCCACTTCAGTTATCATCAAATGCCCTTAAAATCTTATTCTTAAGACCGTCAGTCTACCATTGCATCAAGCAACAATTCAATTCAAACGGTTGTTATGCCCGACTCGAACTAATCGAATGTGATGGCTGTTTGACTGGCTGTGAAATCAATGATGAGGTTCCATGTCAATAATAAATTCATGAACCCCACTGTGAAAAGGTGCAAGACCCATATATTATATTACTGACATATAATCTTATCATTGATTTCACAGCCTGCTGAACAGCCATCCCATTCAACCACAGCTCTGTTATGCCACTCGGGGACTGCTACTCGCCATGCTGTGTGTAACAAGCTATATAATCATTACGCCAATGTTCCATAATATAGGTCTGTCATGCCACACCTGAGCTTTAATTTAATTACAAAAGTATCTATTTCTTAATTTTAGGTTATGGTATTTCAAGTTTTATTTATGACAATAAAACTTAAGGTGTCCATGTTTTGAAAAATTTTATATATACATACATACATACATACATACAATACATACAATACATACATACATACATACATGTTTTGATTTTTCGAGTGGATTTACTTTGACATAATGTTTTTCAAGCCATTAAATTTATATTAGTATGAAAACTTTATTTTTTTTTGGTGTATGAAATCTTTAATTTAGCAATTGAAATATTCAAATACATTAAGGTTTAGTTTGAAACTATTTCATTTAAAATATCAAGAATAAAGAAAGAGTCTATTTAATTATTCTTGTTAACCATAGGGAGAATAAATATTCTCCCAATTGGTGTATCAAGAACAAATATTCATTTAAAATATCAAGAATAAATATTCAAATACATTGGTGTATGAAATCCCAATTAGTATTCATTATAAAAGTCTCTTCTATCTTATTAACCAATAGGAGAATGACTGATCAGCCCAGCTCAGTATTCTTAAATTCTGCAGTGAGCTGCAGAGTACTTTTCCCTTTATTCCAACAAAACATTTTGACTAAAAGTTCAATTACTAAGTACAAATGTATGGGAAAATTTGTGATATTATTAGGTGAATAAGTTTTGGGGAATATGAAATCTGTATTAGAAACAAATGACCTCATATAAAAATGAGTGGTGATCAGTGCTGAGAGTAAAGTGTAATTACATCTTACAACTTTACAAGGGATATTCTTAAAAATGAAATTCTGTACAACCTAAACAGTTAAAGTAGAACAAAGAACAGTTAAATCACATGATGATCATTTAACAGTTACTAGGGATATTCTTAAAAATGAAATTTGTCCTTAACCACATGATATTGACAAATCCCCTTTCATATGGAAAGGCAATTAAGACTCAGTTTGGAAAGAGTACAAATATAAATAGAATGTAAAATCAATTAATGAAAAATGAGATAAAAAAAAGGGTCAGATCCACATGCCCATTCCTTCGTTTCAGATCTCCCATAAATGTCTTTCTCCTTTTCTTGAGTCTCAAGTAAAAGAGAATTCAATTGTACACTCTGAAGTCCCAAAACAATACTAAATATTTCTTAAAAAAATTCTAGATAATGTAAAGGATATAAAATTAAATCCAACCCCCATAGGCCATAGCCATTCCTTGATATCCACTGTAAGTGGGGAAGTGGGGAACATGAAGTGGGTTTTAGAATTTTAAGCTTCTCATGTCTAATTAGTGATGTTAAGTGTCAACAAATGGGATTTGGCATGGGCTTGACTCAACCCTTAACCCTAGTTATATTTACAAATATTTCAATGCTGTCTTGACCCGACCATAACCCGATAGGGTCAAATCGATGTGGGTTTACCATTTGGCATACTGTTTAAAATAGGGGTTAGTTTCATCAAACACATTTTGTAACAAAGGTGAAGCCGGGAAACCATAGACAGTTTTTCTTCTTCCAAGGCCAAAATTGATCATTGTTTATTATACTAATCTTGTATAGGTTTTCCTACCTCTCTTCCTTTTTCTATCTTTTCCTCAAATCAAACATAGCCTAAAAACTCGAAGAAAAACCTCAGAAATGAATACATCACACGTGTGATTAGGTAAGGTATGAAGCTGGATGAGCATATATAGTTAATCAAGATGGTCAACCATGACCATCTGGATGGATAAGTTTGATTGACTTAGTCCCACAATTCCATGTTAGTAGCTAAGGAGACAAGAATCTTGCGTAAATTCCATTGACTCGATAAGTCTGATGGATGTATAACTGAAATACCAACAAAAACAAATCTATTAACATGATTGAAATGGTCCATAACAAGGGATTTTAGTATTTTTTTTCCTCATACCAAGGATGATCCAATAGAATCCATCACAACTGAGGAACTCAAGTGGTGGTCCAGATTCTAGAAAGACACTGCATGCCCGTTGGATGGGCTGATCTGAAAATTCGGTTAAGTTTGGTTCAGCTGTTTTGAATCACTCTGGATGAACTATTAAAAGAGGCTAGAGTGGATAACCCTTCAAATGACTGACAGTCGACGTGGGTTATTCTGATTTTTTACCAAACATAGCTTATACGCTGTCTGTGTGGAGTCCACGTGGATATAAAACATAACTCGTGTCAAGATTTATCCCTTCAAGAGTGTAAGTTATCATTTTCAATATCTATATATAGATGCATTCCACGTGGATATAAGATTGGCAAGCGTCATTCTAATGAGGCCTACGAGGATGATTTTGAACAATCAAGATCTCCTACTCACAGGACACCACGGCTGCACATTGAGAAAAATACATCTCCCCATGACTTTAAAGTGTTTTGTCAAACAGTCCAGACATTTATAAGCCCACGGTTTTTTTTTTTTTTTTTCCTCTGGTTCTATGCTCTCTGTTCCTGCTTCCTACTGAGTTGAGTCCTCTGGTTCTATGCATTTCCTTAGCTTAGTGAACAAGGAGGTAACAGACACATCAATCTATCTAATGCTTCATTCATCCACACATGCCGGAAGCCTGCCTTCTCTGGCTTCATCCACAGTCATCTGAATAGAATGTTTCAATATCCCTACCATTAATTTCCTTCCTTTCTCTACCTTTTTTTTTTTATTATTTTAAACCAAACACAGCCTTATCGAAAGGAACATATATCTCTCATGAAGTGCATCAAACCTATTACTCTTCAAAATAGGTTCTACAACACTCATCCGCAGGAGGTGCAACTTGGGTTGATTTGAATTAGCATTTTACATTGCTTTGGATTTAAGGCTTTGGATGATTGGATCCTTTAGAATTTACAGAGCCCAACCCAAGCCCAACTAAGTTGCATCCCTATTCATCCGTAGCGGTCAAATGGTCTCATTTTGAGAAATGGAATTAACATTAAAGATCCAAATTAGTAAAATGAGAAACAAAAAGAAATCCTTTTAATTGAACATACATTAGGGTTAAAGTGTCATTTTACACTCCCATCTAAGAAAACCAATCTAATATACATGATTACAAAGTACATGGGGTATCTTAGGACATGGTCCTATTATTTAATATATTATAATAATCTATATAATATATGTTTAAAACATACATTATATTTTATCTAAATATAAAATATTATATGTATCGTTTTTAAGCAAAAACATGGTTTGATGATTATAAAAATTTGACATAAATAAAGCTTATGATCAAATAGAATGGTGTTTGTTAAAGGATATTATTACTGTTAAATGTGGAGCCGTGGGGAAACAACACAATTTCTTGTGTCTAAGACCAACGGGTCCAACCTGTTGAGAGAAAGAAGATTTCAGAAGTTGGTGATGAGTGGTTAGAATGCATCCGGCCGACATCCGCGAAATGGTTAAGATGCATCCAACCAATGCTACATATCGAGATGTATACGTCGGCCAAATACCCCTGAAAACTTTGTAGAATGGATTATGCAATGCTTGACTACTGTTCCTTATTGTGTGTTAATCAACGGTAGTCCTAGCAATTGTTTTGTCCCTTGGAGAGGAGAGGTCTCTGTCCCCCTTTCTTTTTCTCATCGTTTTTGAAATCCTATACGTTCTTTTTAAAAGATTAATGTTCAAGGTGAAATATTTAAAATGAGATTAAGATTATTCTTGTCCTACTATTACACACTAATTTATTTATTTTGTTTTTTGCGATTCATACACGTGGGAAGTGGATAGAGATCTTCAACAAATATAAGTTTAAGCCGTGCAAGCAGGTAAATCTCAATAAATTACATTTACAAGGGTAATTTATCAGAAATCCAAGGGATGTTTTTATAATTTTCATATAAAACATCACATATTCTAGCCCGGCCACAAATTTTCCGATCCGGGCCTTTGTGGCCGGGCTAGAATTGATCCTACATTACATGGCTACTTCAAACTCGGACTAGCGTAGTCCTTAGTACCATTCTAATATATCAGCAGTCTGGACGCAATGGCATATGGCCATTTGCGTTACTTGGGGAGTACTCCACATGTCCATTCCACACACAGAGAGAGAGAGAGAGAGGATAGGTAGCAGGTAGTAGATAGTAGTTCTTCCAGGTTACAAGTTCCATCCAGTCCACAACTGGAAGCTGCTCGATGAAAACTGTAATCTGATTCCAGTCTTTCCCAGATCAACCAGAAGAACAAAGCATAGTAGCAGGGGCAAGGAAAGTTATCTCAGGGTCTAAGAAGAATGGAGAGATTGCAGAGGATTTTCTCGGGTGCAGGTGGGATGGGACACCCTCCACCTGATTCTCCCCTCCTCGATTCCTCCGAGCAGGTTTACATCTCCTCGCTTGCCCTCCTCAAGATGCTCAAACACGGTATCAATCCTATAGATCGTTTATCCCCACATTACATATGGAGTTTGAATTTCGTGATTCGTTGGTTTAACTAAGTATGAATGTATAATTAGGGTTCTTTTAGACATACTCGGTGGTGTAAATATTAGAATTTTCTTTGATAGGTGATGATTTTGTAGTACTGTTTCCGTTATGTAAGTTGTTTGTTCTTTTCGTCCGTTGATGTATCATATGGTTTAAAATTGTCGAGGTTAATGGTATGACAGGAAGAGCTGGTGTTCCCATGGAAGTCATGGGATTGATGCTTGGTGAGTTTGTAGATGAGTACACTGTCCGCGTCGTGGACGTTTTTGCTATGCCTCAAAGTGGTACTGGTGTTAGTGTTGAGGCCGTTGATCACGTCTTTCAAACTAACATGCTTGATATGCTCAAGCAGACGGGGAGGTACTTCACTTGGATTTCACCATCCATAGCTTGTGATTATGCTTTTTTTTTTTTTTCTTGGTTTTTATTTTGCTTTTAAATACTGTTACTTTGAAAATTATGTATATAACAGGAAGAACGCTTCTCTTGTTTTTCTTTTTTTTTTTTTTTTGATCAATAACTTCTCTTGTTTTTCTTATTAATGCTTAATGCATATAGCTTAGTGTCTTTTCTTCAAATTGCATATGTTGGGTGTATGAACTGCTGACATCGATAAAAGAGTATAAATTGGCAACTAACAACACTCTCCGGAGCTGCAGCATGAATTCTATCGATTTCCAATTCTGAATTGTATATTATCATTGGATGTTTTCCCAGCCAAGACTGCCAAGTGCACTTGGGAGGTGCTGGTACACTGAACCTGATTATGTTGGAACTAATAGCTGGGTTCAGATTTCTTTGCTTCTTTAAACTCCTTCTCACTCAGTGACATACTTAAATATATTTTGGCCTCTCATATCGATTTTGGTTACAAAGGCCTTTATAAAGTCTAATGACAAAACATGATTCTTTTTATTGATAGTCAAAACAGGACTTATGTAACTGACCTAACATGGTTTGTATAAGGATATGTTGATTTCCCTTGATGTGTATGTTTATGTTTACTATCAAAAAAAAAAAAAAAAAGAAAACTTTATGTTGATCAATTTAGTTGACCTTTGGTTTATTTTCTAGTTAGCTTGTTTCTAGTATTTCATCTGTGCTTGTATTTGTACTTGTTCCTTTCTGCTAGCTTATAGCCAAGGCGGTTCTCTATCTTATGATTAATAAAATCTCCTTAATTTTGTTGCTGATAAAAAATTGCACCTTATCTTGCGCTGAGATCATTTGGCTACTTTTGTATAGTGATCGGACCATACCCTTATAATCATCAAGGAGTTTGTTATGTTCTTTTCTGCTGTACATTGTCTGATGTATTCGTTCCAATTTCTCTATTATTATTATAACTTATCTTTCTCAAAGAAAATCTTTAAATGTGTCAGCTTAATACTTCTCTCCTCACTACATATTACTAGTTACATTTTGTTCTTCTTAGTATTTTATGTTACTAGGTTTCCAGAGAAAGATGAATACTATTGTTATTAAATGAGATGGCAAACTGTCTACATCATTATGGGCTGGCTAAGAGACAACAAGCAATCTTCTTGGCAATACAGGCATGTGATGAGGGAGATCAGGCATCTTTCAACATAGCTGGGTGTCGCTTTTACATGGGTGCAAAGAACAGCCAACAGCTTGGCTGATCCAATGGGAAAACAAGGGGTGAATAGAGCACCATAGAGCACCACGCTTTTGGGGGGAGGGGGACATTCCGTAATGATGTACACACAGAATTGAAAATAGTTGGGATCTGATCTTTAACTAGCACAGCAAGACCTTATGCATTCTGTTGTACAAATCATTCTTTATTCATGTTAACAAAATTTCAAACTGTATAGCAGGAGTTGATTTGGAGGGTGGAATTGTAGAGTGTAGACTTGTTAGCAGCTTGCCTGGAGTGTTCTGTCACTTGTTGGCCAATAACCTATCTAGGTCTTAGGTGCTAACCCTAAGGAAAGCTATTTTTGGAACCCAATTTTAGAAAGGTGTGAAAAGAGGTAGGATCGTTGTGATAAAATCCACGCTAGCTAAGATGCCAATTTACTTTCTTTCTATTTTTAGGATTCCACTGAGGGAAGCAGACAATCTTGAGAAAGCGATGAGGGGTTTCTTATGGGAGTTGGGGGAGGTCGTGTGTGGAAGTAAAGAAGAGAGTGAGTTGGGGATTGGAAGTATGATTAAAAAGAATTTAGCTCTTTGTAGGAAGTGGTTGTGGAGGTTCTCGTTAGAAAGTGAGAGATTGTGGCATGGGATTATAGCTTGTATTCATGGCAGATTGGAAAATGGTTGGGATGCTTGTGTATCTCGTCAGATGACTTTGGCAGTTTGTTTGGGTTGGTAACTTTGTTCTTAAGGACCTTTTTCCACCATTGTGTTCTATTTCCTTGTACAAAAAAAAGGTTATTTTGAAGTTCCTCATTACTTCTTCACATGTTGTGGGTCTCAATTGGGATTTTGGTTTCCCATAGGGGTTAATGGGTGAAGAATCTGTTTCCATGATTGAGCTTTTACAACTTGATAGAGTGTGATTGGAACCTAATAATCTGGACAAAAGGATTTTGATTCCTTATTCTAAAGGTCTCTTTTATTGCACCTGCTTTTCATCTCCCTTTACTAGTCTCCCAATCGTCAGTTCTTTCTCTTTAAGGAAGTTTGGTGCAAGCCAATTCCCCCTAAAGTTACTACTGGAATGTGTTTTTATGGGAAAGTAAACACCTTGGATTTATTGCAAAAGAAGAAACCCTTTCTTTTTATTTCCCCGAATTGGTGCTTTCTTTGTAAAACTAATGGTTAATCTTGTTATCGCTTACTAATATCTTGTCCTTTTTCTGCAGACATTTGGGATTTGTTTTCTCTTTGTTTGGGTGTAGGTGAAACTTGCCAATGGATGTGACTATGCTATTTGATTTATCAACCTTTGCCTAGTCAAAGAGAAGGGAGAGAATAATTTGGAGGTGTATGAGAGCAGTAATGAGTTGGACCTTATGAGAGGAAAGGAATGCAAGAATTTTCCAAGAAAGGGAGAGAAATGCGCAAGAAATCAAGGAATGTGTAATGACTAGGGTTATTCATTGGAAGATTGTGGCAACAAACTATACTAAGGAAAATAGGGCCACCTTGGTTTGGACACCTCCTTTTGAAGATTACGTCAAGCTAAACTTTAATGGAAGTAGCTAAGGTAATCTAGGCCCTTTTGAAATTGGAGGGGTTATGAGAGATAAGGAAGGAAAAGTATTGTCTTTCTTCTTGGGACCAATGGGCGTTGGAGATTCTATAAAGACTAAATTGTTTGCTGCTTTCAAAGGAATTCGGATTGCAAATGGGTTGAACATAGAATGCTTGATTGAAGGTGATTCTAAGGTGGTAGTGTGATGGTTGAAGGAACCAGAGTCAGTAATGTGGTGCTTTAGGGAGGAAATTAAAAAGTTCAAGTGGCTAACAAGAAATATGAACCTAAGAATAGAATGGGTAGGGAGAGTGGCTAATGATGTGATGTCCTAATTCTATTTGTGGGAGAGGCTGCACCTCACACCACTCCAAGGGATATTTGTAATGCTTTTATCTATGATGTTTTTAATAAAATTTTCAATTATCAAAAAAAAAAGAAAAAAAAACTGTCTACATCATTATTAAATGAGATGCCAAAGTTATATTTTTTTAGATAAGTAAATGGCAAAAATTTTATTAAATGAAAGGGAATTACAGATCAGGGTGATGAGACAGCACCCGAAAACAAAGAAAAACAAAAGTGCTTACTACCAAATTAGATAACATCTCTCATGGGTTTGGGATAAATGGCTTCAGTTCTCCTTGGTTGATGTTCTACTACAGGTTCTTTTACTTGTCTATAGAGATCTTCCTCACTCTCAGTTATATGCTTCAATGTCTATGAATTACAAAGTCAGATTGGACCACGCAATCAAAGATCTTTTCTTTTGGTTCGCAGATCTAAGAAGTATATCTTCTTCTACATTTACTTTTTCCTGCCAAATGGAATGAAAGATGCAAGAACTGTACTGATTAGGGAACCCGCTTTCTATTTTGACTTTTTAGAAATAATTCCCTTCATCTGAGATCCATGACTCAAGTATTATGCCAGATCATTTTTTTCCTCTCTTTTTAAGGAATCTCAAATCTGACAAGAAAAACTACAAGAAATCTTAAGACATTCTGAACCAAGGTAGTAACTTAATGGCATAATTGATAGCTTATCAATAGCTGATTTGGCAAGCAAGTCAGCCATGGCATTGAGCTCTCATCCATCTAGCCTGGATATATCCATGGATTTTCTTATATCACTAAGGTAATGCACCAGCCCCCATGGGCACCATTTGATTGCATTATTGGAATCACCTTCAATTATCAAGGAGGAGATTTAGAGTTGTCTAGCTTACAAGCTCCCATAAGAAGAATCATATTTGATCAGTAAAGAAGGATAATTTTATTAAAATGAAAAAAAGATTATAGCCAGCAGGAGAACACAAAACACAACAATCGAAAGGAATTACAGAACTGCCCAGAATAGATCTTGTCTGTACACTCCTTGTTTTGCTAGTGAGTCAACCATCCCATTTGCAGTCCTTCTAATCCAAGTGAAAGTGGCATTGAGCTCCCTGGCTAAACTTTCAATCTCTTGCAAGGAATGTCTATAAATCCAGGGAATGTTACCTCTGAAACTGGACCAAGAAATCACCAGTTTTTAATCTCCTTCAACTCCAAATTTTTAAAATCTGCTTGTTTGGCAAGTTTTAATCCCTGCAAAAGAGCATGAAGCTCAACCTTTATGGAGTCATCTGCCCCTATAGGCCCTGAATACATAGCCAGAACTTTGTTTGTTGAGTCTCTGAACACACCCCATATACCTGCCAATCCCGGATTCCCTATGGAACTGCCATCAAAGTTCAACTTTAACTTATTTGCAACAGAGGGTTTCCATTCCATCACCATCTTTTCTTTCTTCTTAGTTGAACATGCCATTTCTTTCCAAGCCCGCAGGATATCAGCCACAGAGAAGCTTTGGAACAGCTTGAGTGTTTTTATCCAATGAGCAGCTTTTATCTTTACAGCTTCTACCAACTCTTCCTTTGGTCTGCATTGGCCATTGAATATTCTTGCATTCCTTTCCTCCCAAATTGTCCATGCCACAGCTGCCCTCGCTGATTTCCACATTGTTCTTCCTTTCTTTGTTGGTTGCCTTAGGAAGTTTGGGCTGAAGAGGCTCACTACATCCTGTGGGGAGCTCCACCTGGAACCAAATAGAGAGCAAACAGATTCCAAACAAAAAGCACATAAGGACAGTTGATTAGTAAGTGAGAGAGGGATTCACCATTCGCAAAACAAAGAAAGCACACATGAGGGGAGAGGCACAAATGAGGTCTCCTCCTTTGAAGCATATCACAGGTGTTCACCTTTCCGAGGAACATCTCCCAAAAAGTTTGAACTTTGGGTGGAATGGGCTTACTCCAAATCTCTTTCACTGGGATATCCTCTACCCCCCCCCCCCCAAAAGAATGCACAAGGGAGTTAAAGAATGCAGCATAGGAAAAAGAGCCATCGGAAGAAGTGGACCAGACTCTAGTGTCCTCCAAAGATTGGACTAGAAAAGCTGAATTGAGGTTATCAAAAAGGTTTAATAAGCTTTCATATTCACAATCCCTTAGACCTCTCCTAAACCCAAAGTCCCAACTCAAGGTGATGAAACTTGAGATAGGTCTCTTCTTATAGTCAGAAATCAAGTAAAGATCGGGGAAAAGAGAACAAAAAGGAGAGTCACCCCACCAAAGGTCTTCCCAGAACAGAACCCTGGACCCACAACCCACATATACTTGGGTATATGTCATACTTGAATATGATTGTTTTTTCTTGCAATTTGGTAATGGCAGCTAGCTTGTGCTTGTTATCAGCAGTGGTAGTTCCATCTGATCCTGAGTATGGATTATTTGAGGCACAAACCTGCTATTATTAACTGTTGCTATTATTAAATGGGCCTAATAAATATGTTCAGGGTGCTGTGAAATCAAGTATGGATTATTTAAGGCACAAAACCTGTTGTTATTAACTGTTGCTATTATGAAATGGGCCTAATAAATATGTTCAGGGTGCTGTGAAATACTCTATTTCCACTAGTAGCAAAGAATATTGGAACAATTAGGGATTTAGGTTAAAGGGAATTCCTCAGTTCTTGAGAAACATGGGGGACCATCTTTGAGTTTTTGAGTGGTGAGAATCTGATTGTTGGATACTGGTAAAAAGAATAGCTTTAACTTTTGTTATTATGGGCTTGTATGTGCTTTTTCTGTTCTTACTTCATATGTTTTTCTTATTTCTGATTGTCCTTGGAAGCATGGAACTTTAGGAAGACAATCTGGCTTTGTTTGAATCTACATAAGCCAAAAGACCTGGGAGGTGAGATAGGATACATCAAACAAGTATCCAATAGAGCAAATAGATTGATTTGTGGGAGATGCGGTTACTCTCTTTGGTGGAGTGGAACTGACTTGGTAGTTTATAAAAGAGCTTCTTTATTGGATTAATTTTTCCTAGGAAGCTTTTGTTGCAAATGCATCGAACTTTGAAAAATGCATAAATTGTCGTTTGTACGTAACCATGGTTTGGCAGTTTTAGTTATTGACAATCTTTTCCTTATTGGAGCTGTTCCATTAATTATCATGTAATTCCACCAATTTCTCTGTAATTTTTATGTCTCTAATTTGAAGACTCATACATTTATGATTTACCAGATTAAATGATCTTTTGGGTATATGCCTTCTTAATTCTTATCATTGCATAGTACTGTGATTTTGATCCTAAAACATGTCTTAATTTGTGCTTGGAAGACAAACAAGAGCAGTGGTTTTATATTAGGTCCTTCTGGACATGCATATTTCTGCATTCTGCCTTTTCTTATTTTTGCTTTCATAAGCATCTCTGTGATTAATTCCCCATCCCCCTTTCTCTCTTTTCTGTTAAATTTTTTTTTTTCATTGCAGACCAGAAATGGTGGTTGGTTGGTACCATTCACATCCTGGCTTTGGCTGCTGGCTTTCTGGGGTTGATATAAATACACAACAGGTAGTTTTGTTGCTTAAATAATTTCTTTTTATTATGTCACTTATACTAAAAACCATAAATGCAGTTTATAGGTTGTATGTATTCTGAAATGGCATTGGATGTGGTGATTTTGGGCTATTATTACATGTTAAATATTGTCATCAATAATAAAAAGTAATATCATATCTATTATATGTTGCACATAATAAGGTATCCAAGATTAGAAAGGAGGCGTTACAGCACTATGGTTTTCAGATCTAATATTTGTTCGCTTACTAGCCAGTCTTTCTCAATTTTTGAATGGCCCTGTGGGAATGGATTGAAGATACATGGTTTCATGCCTTTATTCAGTTCCTAGAGTTACATTACATTTTATGTTAAGATTTTAATGTCGATTGATTCCAGTGGTGTTCTCATTTCATTTATGTATCGCAGAGTTTTGAGGCTCTGAATCAAAGGGCTGTTGCTGTGGTGGTGGATCCAATTCAGAGTGTCAAAGGGAAGGTGGTTATTGATGCCTTCCGCTTGATCAACCCACAGACAATGATGCTTGGCCAAGAGCCACGCCAAACAACTTCCAACCTTGGACATCTGAACAAGCCATCTATCCAGGTAAGGGCATGCAATTGTGCCCCTATTAAGATATTATTGATCTATACACCAACCAGTTTTCACAATATGACTGTTTTTCTTTTATGATCAATTACAGGCGTTGATCCATGGGTTGAACCGGCATTACTACTCGATTGCCATTAACTACAGGAAGAATGAACTTGAGGAGAAGATGTTACTAAACCTACACAAAAAGAAGTGGACAGATGGCTTGACACTACAGCGGTTTGATATCCATTCAAAGACCAACGAGCAAATTGTCCAGGTAAAGGAAGTTGAATTTTTTGAGGTGGCATTTTTTCTCCGCTGCAATATTTTTGAATTCTTCTATGTAGCATGTGTTTTTTACTTGAAAAACTAGTTGAGCTCTTGTGGCTGATAACTCTCTTATTCTACTTCTCTCTCAAGCTGACTTCCTATTCTGTTTCTAGTGTGAAATTAACCAACATAATTTTGGAAACTTCTATACTTAACTATATATAGCTCAGTACTGAAATAAGTTTTATGTTGGTGAAATATCAGGAGATGCTAAGTTTGGCCATAAAATACAACAAGGCAGTCCAGGAAGAAGATGAATTGCCTCCTGAAAAGCTTGCTATCGCAAATGTAGGCAGGCAGGATGCGAAGAAGCATTTGGAAGAGCACGTATCCAATTTGATGTCATCAAACATAATTCAGACTCTAGGGACCATGCTTGACACAGTGGTATTTTGAGGGGAAATACTCTTGATTCCACAAGGTGGTAGATCCTGTTGACAACATCCACCAAGAGAAAACTTGAAGATTCAAAATCCATGTAACTATGGCAAGTAATCGGAGCAGAGTAATGGTGAATTTGTTGTCTTTCAACAATTCAACCTAAAGACCAAGGATCATATTTCTTATTTGTATTTTTCATACCAAAAAATTATGGGTTATAGTGATTAGGGGAATTTAATGTGAGAAAGTCAATTAGACAAATTTGAATTTGAATAACTAATGCTTGAATAGTTGTCGATACATCCACAGTCTACCATGTAAGTATTGAATGGTACTCCTGTAACGCTGTTGCTGGTTTGTCTTTCTCTTGATTGATGGAGTTTGGTTGCTGTCAATGTTCAAAATTTTGTCATGCATTGGGCGTATTGTATTGTATCGGCGATTGGCCAATTAATAGGTGTTTGGGGTTTTCGATATTTAGGGGTAGGCAAATTTAAAATTAACCCCTTGTGAGATTTTGAAAAAAAAAAAAAAAAACTAAAAAAAGGGAGTGTGTGATCAATTCCCCCGATACGCATATTCATTCGTATTGAGGTATGTTGATACTTTGAAGTTTGAACCTTTATTGTCTTTTCTCGTGGTGTTTGCCGAATTTTCTATTCACCGTCTCCTACCTTTCGAACACTGACCAAGAGCTTTTTGTTTCCAAACACCACTTCCATTAACGGTTGACCTTTAGAACTTAACTATTCCATCTCCTTTCCAAATTGCTAATAAGAATTACTCACCTAAGTTATTGTTTATCATTTTCCTTGTTTGAGTGCATACTCTTATCAACTAAACTTCGCAAGCAAAAAAGAAAATGAATCAAGCAAGAGAATCCAATGTTCGTCTTCTTCCTTTAACAACAGTGAATAGAGAATCAAATCAACTTGCCATCCTTCCAACGTTCTTTCTTCTTCTAAGTGTAGATCCATCATATAGAAACATCAAAGATACCATAAGAAGTGATCTAGGAGCATCCACAATCAAATAGATAGCCCCATTTTAGGGTGCATCTTCACTTAAATATATATATATATATATATATTACAGAATAGATACGCTCATCGTGCAGGAAAAGGAATCTACTCGTGTGAATAGATTAACAGTCTCACTAGGCGAACAAAGATTATATGTTATTCGAAAATGGCATAGAAATCCCTCTATACAAATACAACTTTGTTACTTTTGATAGTATTGTAGAATATATTGGCAAAAATGTTTTATAGGAATGTTTCATTTTGCTCTTATCATAGATAAATGTATTATGATATATGCTTTACCTTTTTTCTAACTTTTTTTTTTATCTATTATAGATGTTGGAGCAATTATTTACATGAACAACACTCCCTACTATATCCAAATTTAAAAAAAAAAATTATTATTATATCAACAATAAGTTTATGTAACATGCTCATGCATAATGTTTAATATGAAATTTGTGACATTCACTAGGACAAATTTTTCTATTCAAAAACTTTCAAAACTAAGGTTCAAGAACCCATGAATTGAGTAGGAAAATAACAAAATCACATGAGAGAAAACTAGATTTTCTCTTCAAGGTCAGTTTTGGGATTTGAACTAAATCAAATTAGATTTAAAACTACAAGAAAGGTTAGAATTTTACTTGATAAAAATGCCCTCACAAGTGCAAGAGCAGATGTGGTGTTCACACCTAAGAAATCAATCTCCTTTCTCTCGATTCAATCCAACTAAAAATGGTGCAACCTTTGATATTAAATGACTCGATCTCCTTAAAGAACAACTATGTTTGGTCATCCAAATCACCTCTATCAATGAAGAATTCTTATAGAAGAACTTGAAAAATCCCTTCTTAAATGTGGTTCAAAGTGATGAAGAAAGGAGGACAAAATGGATGAACGTGTAACATATTCCAACCTCTAATGGGTATTGATGAGGGGCATTTTGGTCACCCCGCACAACTACCGATATGTGGACACTATTGGCAACACAGTGTCCAACTCAAAAAGGCAGCTCGACAAACCAATACGTGGCAATCGACATCAAGTGTGTGATCGAGATGGGGTGAGCTTGGCCTGTCGACAACACCAGCTCACCCAAAACTGATCCGCGTGCCACACCCGCACGAACACCATTACCGCGATTATAGGAACAGCTCACCGAACCATACGCCACAAGACCTGTGGGCGACTTGTAACCGCCACGCGAATCTAGCAACTGACAGTCCAGCATGCCCTAAACCGCGGAAGCAGCTCGGTAGAAGACTCAGAGACGTTGATTGATGGCAACTGAACCTCATATAGCTATAAAAAGACCTCAGGATCCCTCTGAAAAGTATGCGCACAGAAACTCTTAAACTCTCTCACATATCCTCACTAAAATCTCCTTACTGACTTAAGCATCGGAGTGTCCTCCTAGGTAAAACCTACCCAGGCACTTTAATTCTTCCCTTTTTACAGTTCTTTCCAGCTCGGACCTATAGTTTCCAGCTCGACAGTACAGCTCGGCATTGGCAGATTAGAACTTGGTTTGGGCCCAGTCATTGACACGAGGAAGAGAGCAAATAGCGCATCATCAATTGGTGTCGTCTATGGGAAACACAACGAAAAACTAGCATTCCCTTCTTTCATTTCTTCCTTTCTTTTATTCTTCTCTAAGAAACCCTTCAATGGCATCTTCCGGCAACCCTTCTGCCAACAATATCAATGGCTAGATTCCTACTATTATGATTGGCCAAATAGACGTTCTGTTACCACCAGCTGTAGCACAAGGCAACATGAATGTACCTCCCCCAATAGCTAACCCTGCGGCACCTCCCACAATAGTCGATGTGCAACAGTTCAATGACCTAGCACAGTGTGTTCAGACCATGACCGAGCAAATTAGGTCATGGGAGAGCAGATTCGTCTTCATTACTGGACAGCAACAACAACATCAACACCAACTGTAGCAACAACAACAACAACAACAATATCAACAGCAGTGGCATCCTACAACGCCCAATCAGCTCGTGTCACGAGATAGCCAGCAGTTACCGCGTAATAGCTAGCAACAACCATTTAACAGCCAGCAAGTGCCAGCCAACAATTAGCAGGTCCCATATCACAACCAGGAGGTTCCGAGGAGTAGCCAGCGATTGCCTCCTCAGAACAATGGCCCGAATAATAAAGACCCACCTCGCCCACGGGTACGTAGTCAGATTCAGGTCCCAGACAGAGTAGACCCAACAACCCAGAATGAGCAGGCCCCATAAAGAGACAAGCTGAGGTTCCTACTAGGACCGATGCCGCTAGTTCCACCGAATGCACCAGGAGGAAGAGCAAGAAGTGCACACACCGTGCAGGAAGAAAGGTGCAGCTCGCCCACGCAAGTGGCGATGCCCAACATGGGGAGAACAATGTAGTGACCAGTAGGATAGTCTCCCTCTCAGAACCACCTAGCCTAACATGTGAAACCCCACTAGCACCTAAAATTCTTAAAGCACCGTGTCCAAAGAACTTTTGAGCCCCAACTTTAGAATCCTACGGGAGGAAGACAGACCCAGTGGAGCATGCAAACAACTTTCAGGCTTTCATGCTCCTCCATGGGGCAAACGACACCTGCATGTGTATCACATTCCCCACGACACTGAAGAAAGAAGCTTGGCTTTGGTATTCCAGACTGACACCAGGATTAATAAAAAATTGGGATCAATTCGCCAAACTCTTCATCAATCAATTCGCTACTAGTAAGAGACATTCCAAATCAGTGACCTGCTTGTTCAACGTTGTCCAGAAGTCAAATGAGACGCTCAGAAAATACATTCAAAGGTTCAACATGAAGCATCTACAGGTCCATGACCTGGATCCCGTTGTGCAGCTCATAGCAATGAAGAAAGGCGTGAGGAATCGCAAGATGAAATGGGAGCTCGAACTACACCCTCCAGCCACCATGGAAAAATTTCTTGATGTAGCCCACCGCTTCATCAAAGCAGAGGAAGCAGTAGGGATAGAGTCTGACATAGCAGGAAAGAGAAATCGTATTGAAGAAGAGGCGAGTACATGTAGAACCAAGTGAATGAGCAAGTTATAGAAGATAAGCAGATCGCCAAGGAGAAGGCACAACAGCTCGCCACACTGCAAGAGTAGGTCACTAGTCAGAAGATCAGGCCGATGGTCAACGATGCCACCAACATACACTAGAGTGTTTACCCCATTGAATGCTAAGAGGAAGGAGACCTTGATGCAAATCCAATCCAATGATTACGTGAAATGGCCACCAAAGATGAGGGGGATCCTATTACTCAAAACCCAAATAAGTATTGCCATTTTCACAAAGATGTTGGACACGATACTGAGCATTGTTGGAACTTAAAGAACGAAATTGAGAACCTCATCAAAAGAGACTACATGAGGCGCTTCATCAAATATGAACGGCAACCCGAAGTAGGAACCAACAGGGAGGCACCTCAGAACAGCAAACAGCAGGAGTCGACTCCCCAAAACCAGCAATTACAAGAATGGTAGGCCCAAGGGACCATAAAGACCATAAATGTAATTACCGGAGGCTCAATAATAGTAGGTTGCACCATGTTAGTGGGAAAGAATGCGGTAAGAGAACTAGAGCAAGAAGACAGCCAGCCATGCAAGCGCCCCCAAAAGGAGGAGGTTATTTATTTTACAAAGGATGACATGCATGGGGTCCAGTACCCCCATGACGACACCCTAGTCGTAAAGCTACTAATAAATGACTTTAGAGTGAAGAGGATTCTAGTGGATTCAGACAACTCGGCAAACATTTTGTTCGTAGAAGCTTTCAAGAGAATGGAACTTAGGCCGACCTGCATCCTGCCAACATACCACTAGTGGGATTCGGCAGTGAGATAGTTTGCCCGATTGGCAGAGTAAGGGTGCCAATTGAGGCGGGATCACTGCCCCACACAGTGCGCTTTGAACATGAATTTCTGGTGGTTGCTGCCTCATCACCTTATAACGCAATTCTGGGAATATCGATCTTACATGCAATGTAAGTTGTGGTCTCAACGTACCACCTTGCACTAAAATTCCCGACGGACACAGGTATAGGAGTGCTACAAGGAGACCAACTAGAATCTTGAAAATGCTATGTAGCTTCGCTGAAGGCCAAGGGCAAGATGACAGTTGATATTGACCTGGAAGCACCACCAGAGAACATAGAAGAAAGAGCTCTCCAACTAAAGAAACCATTGCAGTCCAAGTCTCCGAACTAAACCTGAGAAAACGCTCCAGATTGAAGCTCGCCTAAAAGAACCCCTGCAATCTGAACTGGTAAGCTTCTTGTTAAATAATTTAGATATTTTCTCTTGGTCAGCTGCTGAAATGCTTGGTATAAACTTAATGTTGACCTTACAGTT